ACAGTAGTTCTATATATATATATATATATATATATATATATATTCTGCACAGGGTGGTCATCGTGTACGACCTCGGTGCTGCGACAGACAACGACACACACAGGGAGGGGAAGCCGCGGCAGCAGGACAACAGAAACACCAGAACTGGGCTTCTCAAGAGAGAGTGTTTTCGTATTTGTACAGCTGCTCGCTTCACGTTGGCTCGTCGACATCGTTTTATTTATCGTCATCATTTATTCCTCGTTGTCATTTTTCTGTTCTACAGCTTATTCCCTAAACGGCTTTCCTGCTTCTTCAATCCCCTCCTTTCATCCACACGTTGGACACGGTAGCGGGACCGCCTTCACCGTTCTCTCTCTCTCCATTCTTCTTGTTGTTTCGTGTGTGTGAGTGTGTGCGCCTACAACAGACAAGCGGGCTCTAGGAAGACGTGTGCGCTGACACACGAGACGTGGTACGCCGGTTTACACACAGAGCGTCCTTTCACTCCCATACGTACACTTATTGCCCTATTTTGGTTTTTTGTTTTACCGGTTTCATTCCCCGAGGTCAGCATCTCCTCGCATTGCGGTGGGCACACACACACGCACAAGCACACCCAGGGAGGTGACTTCGTTACTCCCCGCTTCCACCTTTGAAACCTCAGCATTAATTGTGTTTGCTGGAATCCCTTCTTTCCTTCCAGCACTATTTGCGCGTGCTGTCTCTCTGCACTTCTGGGTTTGCGCTTCTCGTGTGCTCACCTCTACCTTCTCTGCTGTTTCTCCTCTCGTCGCCACACAGCACGTACTCCACTTCCGTGACGACGGCACTGCGGCGATCACGATGGCGGACCCGCGACCCGCGCTAGCCCCTCCGTCACCCGGGCGACTAGAGGCCCTCCCCGGCTCCCTCGGCAAGGTCACCATCTGCGCTGTGTTTACACTCGGCATTGCGGCTTTTATCAGTGTGCGACGGTGGCTGGCGGCCCGCTCGGCGGAGAACAAGGCCGGCCACGGCAGCAGTGGCAGCACGACAGCATCGAAGTACGGCTTCCGCAGCAAATCGAAGGTGTCTAGCAGCGGTGGTGGTGGTGCGGGCAGCAGCAGCACTGCTCTCGCTGGGAAAGACGATGACGGTGCTAGCGGTGGAGCGGCGCCGTCGTCGCCGCAGCGCCCCCAGCTCCCCCCGCGCAATTACTTCACCATCCGCGCCGCCCTGCACGTGAAGCGGCACAACGCGAAGATGATGGAGTGGTTCGACGAGCAACTCGGCGTCCAACTCCCCTTCTCACAGCAGCTGTTTGAGCTGCGGCAGGAGGAGCGGCAGGCACCGCTGATTCTGCTCTCGTTCCGCACGCTGCGCGAACCCACGCACCGCATGGCGGTGACCATTGAGGAGCTCTACAGCGCACAGACGGCCACGACGTACTGCGAGGCAAGTTTGAGTCGCATCGCTGACTGTGCGAAGGTGCTGGGGACGTCGTCGACGCGCATCGGGAGCAAGGAGTACCCGGTGGCGGAGTACTGCTACGTGGACGACACACAGACAACGGTCTTTGCCTTCTCTATCTTTGTCGTGCACGAGCGGCTCGCCGTGACGCTGCAGTACGTGGCCCCCAGCCGGGTGCACAACGTGATGCCGACCGCCTTCTACGACATCGCCCGCTTCATGGTCTTCACCGCCCCCTCCCCGTCGCCGTCGTACTTACTGATCTCGGAGCCGCGGCTGGGGCTGGGCTTCCACCTGCCGTTGGACTTCCTCGTCCACGAGGGGCTGGCGGAAAGCGACTGCGTGGAGGACCGCCTTTTCACGTCGATCGGCGGGGCCAGCGAGGGAGGCCCACCTGTCCTGCACGGTCGTAGTAACAGCAGGGAGCCGCAACCACAGCAGCCACGAGGTGACGGCGGCTTGGCGACCGTGACGGCGTACAGCAGCCGCCCGTATGGTGGCGGCAACAGTGGCAGCGGTGGTGGAGGTGGCTTTTACGCCGGCTACGGCGAGGGCGGGGAGGGCATCATTCCCTACGTCACGGCCATGAGTCGAGGCGGTCGCCGAATGGGGCTCATCACCTCCTACGAGCCATCGATCGGCATCAACACGAGCAGCAGTAATAGCAATTTGATGGATGCGGCGGCTGGCGGCCCTCCTGGCTGGGGGTCGACGAGCCGCAGTGCCGGCGGGGTCCCCTACGCGTGGCGACCCTATCTAGAGCAACAGGTCTCGAAGGCGGTGCGTCAGTTAGGTCTCGTGATGGGGCCCAGCGTGGGCGGCTACGGCGCGGGCCCACGGGTGCTCTTCCAGCCCCCCGACCCGTCCGACCTGTCCGCCTACGCCAGCGCTGCCCACACGCTGCTCATAGAGCCCTATCCGCTCTCCATCGCACTCAACGGCAACTTCAGCGCCGGCGACGACAGCCGTGACGAGGAGGGCGGCTGCACCGCGCACGTGACGGCCTTTTCGCTTTTCCGCGAGGTCCGCGTGGATGTGAACTCCTCGTACGTGACGCTGGTGCCCGACACCCTTGATGCCGCCAGTGCACGCACCACGACCGCCTCCGCAGACGCGGCCTACCATAGGAGAGACGGCTCCCCGGTCACCGTCGCGGCCTTCTGGAGTGCGTTCTACGTGCCGGTGGGCACCGCCTGCGTCAGCTTCCACTTCATCGCCTCGGCTCTGCGGCACACCTCGACAGAGTTCGTCTCCTTCTGCGCCACCGTCATGAACTCCATCTCCCTCGGCAACCACTACGGCCAGACGGTATCGCTGATGTACTGCAACACCCGCCACGATGTGCTGCCCTTCCGGCTCTCGCTGCCGCCGACCGGGATGGCGACAGCGGAGGAGCCGATGCTGGCCGATCCGCTCTGCGTCGTGCAGGCCACCTACGGCGTGGAGAAGGTCGCCGTGACGGTGCGTGTGTTTCCTCTCTTCGCCGCCAACGCCGCCGGCAGGGGAGTCAGCGCGGCGGGTGGGAGCGTCCAAGGAGGGACGACGACGACCACCACCACTACCACCGCGGGCTCTCCCGATACCCTTTCAACCTCCCTGTCGAAGCCACCGCCGCCACCGCTCCTGCGTCCAGCCGAGCGGCGCGGCACCCGGCAGCGCTCGGCGATGCGGCAGCTTCAGTACATGCTCCGCTACTACCTCGCCCAGTTCCCCGGTGGGGTGCACCTCATCTCTTATACCAAGACGACGGTGAACTCGATGCCGGCGATGCTGCTGTGCTTCCGGCCGATGCGGACCGTGAACGGGGAAGAGAGGGGCGGCTCCGCCGCGGCCACGGAGAGCACCAATGGAAACGGTGGTGGTGGCGGCGTCCCATCGTCGGGCTCTGCCGGTGCCCTCAACAACAATTGGGACGACTTCAGCGGCGGTGCGGGTGCGAGCTCGCAAGGGGCCTCCAGCTGGGTCGACATGCGGGAGTCGATGCTGGAGGAGGAGGTCGGTCAGCTGAACCCCTTCGCCCACTACTTCGCCCCTCCACCGCCCCCTGTGAGCTACTTGAGGGGATCGCAGCAGGGCAACAACCCTTCTTCTTCGTCTGCGCCGACACAGCCGGTGACAGCGGCCGCCATGAAGAAAGCGGCGGGGGATTCACATCACAACATCGACGGCGATTTCGTTTACACCGGCGGCGGCGGCGGCGACTCGCAGCGCTCGCAGGAGGAGTTGGACGATCCGCTTCGTGTGGCCCTCGCGGTGTGCTGTGAGGGCAACGCCTTTCTTTTCCAGACGTCAGCCTCGGAGTACACCCTGGGGACGGCGCAGGAAGCCGTGCAGGCCGCGGCAACGTACCTGGCTCTCATTCCGCGTGCCGGTTGAAGGCAAGACAGAAAGGAAAAGAATAGAATAGTGCACCGTTGCTGACGAGGCTCAACAGTGGAATGCAAGAAGTGGAGAAGAAAAGATAATCTGGCAGGCGGCAGGTGATCACTATTCCTTTATTCAGCAACCGGCTGCTATGGTTTGCGCACGCCTGCTTCGGAAGACTTATATTTATGATGTTGTTGCTCGGCAAACATTTTTTTCCCCCTTATATATATATATATATATATATATATAAGTAGTTGCGCTTTGCTTCGGCTTCATCACCGTGTGCTATACGTGTTCCGCTGTGGATTTGACGACACTTGTGGGGTCTGCATCTGCATCTGCATCGAATAAAGGAAGCGAGTTGCTACTCCCTCTTTTCGTCCAACCGAGTAAAAACATTCCGTTTCTTTCAAGGGGCTTTTTACAACTATTATTATTATTATAAATTTTTGCGCGCTCCAGCTTAGCGTTCGTCGGCTTTGGAAAGACGGACGTGGCTCGGTGGCACGGCTGCACGATGGCAATTAGACTCCCATCGCAGCGCGCTCCCTTCTTCTTTCTGCTTTGCGACTCTCGGCGTAGTGTCGTCATCGTCTGCGCGCGCATGGTCTCGTTCATCACCGCTTTGAGAGTGTGTGTGAGTAATGTCACCTGCGCGTTGTGCGGTGGACAGAGTGCTCCGCTTTCCCCCTGTCCAAGGAGATGAAAAATGGCTGCAGTGAAGCAGCGTACACCCCCCTTGCGCCTTCACTCCTCTTTCTTTTATCCCTCTTCTTTTGCTTGTTTTTACGACTTCCTTTCGTTCCGCACCTCCACCAAGCTTACCCCCTACAAACCGCCAAACAACAACCTCAAACGCCGCAGCACTTCGCTGTCGTGTGTGTCGCCGTTGGAGCTCTTCAGCAACGCACTTCGACCCCCTCCTCGAGCGCGTACCGCCTCCGTGTCCAAACTCAATTTTTTTGCCCTTTCTCTTTCTTCGAAGTTCTTTAACCAGCGCTTCGCCATCTCCACAGCGCATTCACGATCGCAGTGAACAGAAAGGGCTACCTCTCCTAGCTCGCTTACGAACAGACATAAACCCCTCCCCCACACAACAAAAACAAACAAATATGGGCATCTTAGTGAACTTTAGCATCTATGGTCTAATGATCATCCCCTTGGCCGCCCTCGTCAAGGGCCACGGCATCTCCCTTGGTCATCTCATCAAACTGGGTCTGGTAATGGTGGCCGTGCAGCTGGCTCAATCCACCATCGCCACCGCCGTCCCACCGGACATGGTCGCCGCGCAGGTTGCTGTGCACGGCGCCCTTCTCCCCCTCCTCACCGTTGCCTTCTGCAGCTTTGTGCTCACGGACGGCAAGGCGTCGAAGGTGATGCGGCTGCACGAGTGCGGCTGCGACGACGTCGGGGCGGCGGTGGCGACGCTTTGGTGTCTCACCTACACCGTCCTCTTCCGCTGGTTTCCGTGGTACCACACCATGGCCAGCCGGGGCTTTGAGCCGAGCAATTTACTGGCCGGTGGGGACGCCTTTCTGACTCTCCTCACCACCTTAGCGATGTGCCGAAGCTTTGCGAGTGGGAAGCCCGGCGCGGCCGCTACGGCGGTCGGTGTGCACGTGGTGGGTGCGGTGGTGGGGGCGGCGGTAGGCCAGCCGATTGCCGGCGCTGCGCTGACGGCGGTGCTGGAGAGCGGCGCGGCGAAGCTTGTCTTTGCGCCTCCGACCACGGAAAAGAAGGAGGATTAGACGTGAGGGCCGTAGCTTGTCGATTGCATCTCTCCTCGTTGAGTGCCGCCAACACGAGCCTTTCTTTTTTTCCCGTTGTTTATATTTCTGGTGATGTCTGCGCCTCTTCCTCCTTTTGTCGGGGATGTGGCGGGGGGGGGGGGGGCGACGACTCTTGTTGAGTGCACCTGTGAAGGGTAGCACGCATGCGTGAATGCGTGGGAGCGATGAAGGGGAAGGGCGATTTGCGGTGCATAAAATACCTAACGTATTCCCCCCCCCCGTTTTGCATTAGGTGTGCTTCGCTACGGAAGCGGCGAGCGGAGGCATCACACTCGCAAAGCGCGGTAATACAAGCCTCACTCTTTAAAAACTAAGGAAAACAAGGAAACGTGCGTTTACGTGCGTGATGCAAGGCGGTCGCTGGCTTCCGTCTTGATGGGGGCGGAGGTGTCGTCGCGCCGGGTGTGCAGTTCAACGTAAAGTATACGCACATCGCATACCTCCGCGCTGCCGAGGCGGCGTGCCCACTCGAACAACAGCAGCAAATTGTTTTCAAAAAGAAAAAGGAAGGGAAGCCCACCATCCTCTTTGAATTCTGGAGATGACATGGGAGTGGCGAAGCTGCCGGTTACCGGTCTGTTTGGTTTGTCTTCCACTTCCTTGTTGCGTTTCCCAACTTCCATTTAATTCTTTTTTTTCCCTCTTGCTTCTTCACTCGATACTTCGTATGCGGGTCGCCGCCGACGTGCAGCGCAACATCGTTGTCGCACCTTCTTCTACCTGCCTCGGAAAACGAAAAAGAAAAGCACACCCCGCAGTCGCCTGACGCAGTGACGCTGCTCTCTCTCACCCTTCACCGCTCACACACACACCCACCCACACACACACAGACGCAACGATGAGGCACTCGCTGACCCTTGCGTCGTCACCGCAGCCGGCAAAGAAGCTCTTTGTCACCGACATCGTCCACAAAGCGGCAGAGCGGCTAGGGAGGAAGCTGGTGTGGCGTGTGGCGACGCATCTGGAGGCGCTGCCCTCCCCTGCCCCGGCGAGCGCCGTGCGGGAGTCGTTGCGTGACCTTTCCATCTTCCTCTCCGACGAGGACTTCGCCGCGATGGCGCAGGCGTACGCAGCTACGGGTCGCACGGCGAACCACGATGGACACGACGGTGCGGCGCACCACACACAGCGCAGCAGCAGCGACGGCACCAGCCCCAACAGCAGCAGCAGTAGCGCTTCTGCGGTCAACACGGCCGCCTTGCTGGAGGACCTGTGCACGCTGCCGCTGAGTCCCCGGCGACGGTACGTGCTGGACCTCGTCCTTCGTAAGCTGGACCCCAACAGCACCGGCGTCATCTCCTACACCACGCTCAGCAGAGAATACGATGTGCTGCGTCACCCCGAGGTGTGCAGCGGCGCTCGCATGGAGGACGATGTGTTGATGGAGTTCTTCGACAACTTCGCGCCGGAGGATGGGAACTGCATGGAGCAGCTGACGACGGCGGAGCTGCGGATGTACGCCGTGGGCCTCTCCACCGCCATGACCGACGACACGGAGTTTGAGCTGTGGTGCACGCGGGGCTTCTGCCTGGATCGGCCGAAGCTGCAGCTGGGCGAGGAGACGGGCTGGGTGGTGGGGTCGCGTCAGCACTCCCGGCAAAGCCGTCTTCTTGGGGAAAGCCGCAAGCACCCGCTCTTCTCCACCACGTATGAGGAGTACGGTAAGGATGCGACGCGGGCGGATTATAAGCGGCCGGCGAACGGGCGGCCGCAGGAGTTCACGAAGAACGTCGTCGTGCGCACCGGGGGGACGACATCGATGAATATGTAAAATGGCAGACGGGGAAGGAGCAAAGGAGGGGTGGAGTGCCTAGGCAGGTTCTTTGAGCGTTTATCATCATCTTTGGTTCCTCCTCTTTCTTTCCCCCTTCAACGGAGCAGTGCGGTAGATCTCCACACACACACACACCACCTTGTGCCGATTCCTGTGACGGAGATGCAGCGCTGTTCATGCGCGTGTTTTGTTTGGCGGGGGACTACGCCGTTTCTCTCTATCTCTCTCCCTTCGGCGCTGCGACCAGCTCTTGCCGTGCTTGCGCCAACCTCATGTATTATATTTCAAGTTAGCAAGAAGAATTATATATATATATATGTAAATAGATCCAGAATGGCTGAATAGAGACCTCTACAAGAGAGCGAAAGAAGGGGAAGCGAAAGAAGGGGAGGCAACGTGACAGGAAGCAAGCACTAGAATGTCTGTGTCAGCTTGTACCGTCAAAATGTGGCCCCGTTGCCGTCTTCTCCAACACCATTTGCTCAAAGCAGAACGTCGACGGAAACGTCCGCCCTTCTGCACGCGCTGTCGACCTGACGCGAGCGGTGGGGGTGTTCTGCTTCTCTCGGAGTTTGCTTTCTCCGCTCAATGCTGTGCTATACCGTTTCTTGTTTTCTCTTGTCCTTCTCCTTCCCCGCCTTATCGTCCATGGACACTCTTTTCTCCACTGCGCTCTCTGCACTCTCCATCGTTTGGGCGGCTCACCACCTCCCTTCGCTTGTCTCCCCGAGGAACAAAAACAACAACAACAAACGCAGTTACGCCGGGGGAACACGAAACCTTTGGGTTACCGTGGCATTCGATCGGATCGAGAGGAATCGGAGACGCACCGGCATCTCGCTGCGCTCCACATTCTCCTTTTCACAGAGACGACTATTACTCTCCCTTGCCTTTGCGTGGAATCGGTAGACCTCAGCCATAGAACAAGTAGAAGCTGCACAGAGGACCTTTCCATTACTTCATACCTTATATGTATATATGTGTTCTCGCCGAGCGCCTCGCTGAATCTTTCCTTCCACTTTCCCTCCTCGTAAGCTATCGGCGCGATAGATTCTTCCTCTTCTGTTTTCTTTTGTATATCATCTTTCTCTTTCTTGTATCACCTGCGCACACGCACGATGCCGACGCACGATTTCATGATCGACTTGGTGCTCGTGCGCGGGCCCGCGTCGTTAGATCGCCGACTGCACGTTCGGCTGCCGCGCAACGGCACCCCCATCACCGTAGGACGGGCCACGCACTGCACCACGCTGCTGGACCCTTCGCTGCTCTTCTCATCGCAGGTGCAGTGCAGTCTCTTTGCGATGCCAGTGAAGACGGCGTCCACCCCCGCCGTGCCGCCGCCGGTTGTTTCTTCCAACGCGGATGCGACGCCGGACAACGCCGCTGGTGCTGCGGCGGTTGACCTGCCCAGTGACGTCCGCACCCCTGCCCACCAGGCCACGCACACACCCGATCGGCAAGATGGCCGCCGTGGCGACGCGGCGCTTCGGGTGTACATCACAGACATGTGCAGCTCCAACGGCACCTTTGTGAATGGCCTGCGCATCAGCGGCACCGACCCGACGGAGCTACAACACGGCGACGTGTGCGTCTTCGGCGGAATGCGAGATGTGGAGGTGGGCGAGGCGCTGCCGGCGGACGCCTACGCAGGACCTGAGCTCGTGCTTTGGCGGGTGGACATGGGGCTGCAAACGGAAGTCACCACCCACGACTTCGACTTCACCGCGACGCCGCTGGTGCTGCCGGCGACGGACGTGCTAGCGGCGGAGGTGCGTGCACTGATGAGCACGGCGCAGCGATCCCTGCGAGGGCCGCAGGGGCCGTCGGCCGAGACGGGGTTCTCTGCGACCCCCGCGGCACAGAGGCCGCTCCGTTCGACGGCGACCGCACACGCCGCCACTGATGATGCCGCCGGGTGTGTTGGCGACGGAGACGGAAAAGGCGGGCACGAAGACTCCCCGTACAGTGTCCCGCAGCGGCTCTTCACCTCCCCCGCTCTTCGTGTTGTGGCAGACGGAGAGGAGAAGGCGGAGGAGGAGCTCGCCGCGGTGGCGGCAGCGAGAAGAACGATTGAAGGCAGCGGTGAAGTGAAGGACGGCGCAGATCGACGGAGCGTGTCGCTCGTCGCCATCACGCAGGAGGCCGATGATGACACACCGCCTCCAGCTCACCCGCCAGCTGCTTTGCATTACCGTGCGGTGCGTGTGGGCAACGTCACCTTCACGGCGGCGGCCACCACGGACGTCGTCGACGCCGTAAGGGAGGACCGGGGCGCGAAGCTGCCCCGCACCGAAGCGGACGCCGACGTTGCAACAAGGGCGTGCACGTCTGCCACGACGCCGACGGAGCCGCCTCCTCTTCTGACGTGCACTGCTGTGCATTTGAAGTGGACGATGCCGAACCCCAACGATCTTCTGGCGCTGCAGCAAGGCAAGAGAGGTAGCAGCAACGATGCCGCAGCAGTCAACCCGGACATGGTCCAACCGCCGCAAAAGAAGCCATTTTACGGCATGTTGGCTGTCACGTCGCTGTCGACCGTGCTGGCCTGCGTCGCGCGTCGCGGCATCGCAGTGGAGTTGAAAGACGGCTGCCAGCTTCCCCTGGTGGACGAGGCGGTGCTGAACGGGTCGGCGGAGAGTCGGTGGGTGGTCTGGATGCTAGCCCCCGACATGAAGGCGGCTGCGGGGGGTGTCGTCGACGCTGCGCACGGCAGCGCCGTAGCACTCAGCGGCAGCGGACACGGCACCACCGACCATCACGGCGGGCCGGCGACGAGGAAAGGCGTCGTTCGCGGAGGACGTAGGGCGACGGCAGAGCCAACGCAGGCTACGCAGACGCAAGAGGACGCAGCGGCAGCGTCGCAAACACCAGAGGAGCGCTTTGAGGCGTGGGTGCAGCACTTCCAGCAGTTTTATCGAGAGCGGGGACTTCCACCGCCGCACTTGGTGGATGCCGCGACCTTTGATCTGATCTTCGCTCCGCCGCTATCGCCTTGGTGACGGAGGACTGACAGAGGAAAAGAAGGAGGCACGCTGCCTGTTATGTTCAATAGATACATATTTCCGTCTGATGTTTTCGCATAGAGTTGTAGATAGTCCGGGTGGGTGTGTTCGCGTGTGTGTGTGTGCATGTGCGTGGGGGCAGCGTTCAGCAGATGAGAAGCGGCGGGGGGCGTGCTCATCTCCCCGTGCCCTGCTTATGCACACACAGCGCCCCCGTGGTTCCCTTCCGCCGTCCATCCCCTCCATTCGGGTCGCCCAAGAAGACCCTGCAGAGACCGCATACACATACATACATACATATATTTTCCTTCTTTACTTATTGAAGGAGAGAGAACTCTCTCCATCCTCTACGACACTCACACAAGCAACGAGAACACCACCACCAACACCAACAGAAGGGGCCGCTGACGTGATCGCAGTGGTATCCCAAGAGGCAGTCGGGGCGAGAGAAGGACGGCAGGGAGTGGTTTGCACCTTTCGCTCCCTTTACGAAGCAATCGAAGCGACTTCGCACGAAGCACACGCATTCGTCCTGTCGATCTCGACTGCGGTGCACATCACATGCATCACACATATATGTATACATGTGTGTATCCTTCGTCTCCCACGCAGCACCTCCTTTTGCCATGTCGTATGCGATGCAAGAACTCCAGACTCCCGCTACTTCGTGCTCCTCCGCTTCGTTGCTTCTCCTTCTCCTTTTCTTCCTCTTTACCATTGCTGCAGCAGCTCTCACAAGGCGCTTCTCAGCTCTCTGAGCCAAACCACCGCCACCACAGGAGAAACACCAATGGCACCACACAACGCATACTTTTTGTTTTTACAGCAATTCGAAGAAGTCTTATGTCACCACAGTAAATCCAATGCAAACCGCCCACGACGCCTCGGTGGTTTAGCGGCTACGTGCGACCGCAAAGGGGCGTGACGGTCGTGGGATCGAACCCCCGGTGAGGCGCACAAAGAGAGACAACAATATCACAAGAGCCGCGATGAGCTCAGCTGGTGCTGGGTGCGGGCTTCAAACCCGTAGGTGAGTTGCACTCACAGCCGTTCGATTCGGCCTTCGTGGCGTACACTTTTCTGCTTAGTTTGGGAATTTTCTGCTGCAGCGCTCTTCTGCTCTTTCCACGGCCCACGTACATTCTCTGCTGGATTGTGAAGTACAGAAGTGCCGGCGTAAAGGCGCTAAGCCCCGCGTGCGTGCGCTCCTCGTTTTCTTTTTTAGTATTCTCTCTGTGTGTGTCTCCCGGTAGCGTCTGTCTTGCCGTAAACAACAAGGACAGCAGCAAGAGAAGATCGGAGTTGTCGTGCTGCTTACATCTTTGTCTGGTCATTGCCACCTGTCACATCCTCGCTTTCCTTCCTCCTTCGCTCTTTGATATATATATTTCTTCCTCTGAAGCCTCCGTCCTTCACACACCGCATCCGTTGAAAGCGGACCTGACAAATTTGCCGCAAAGTTCTTCGCGCCTCGGTCAACCGCTAGAGTTACAGCAGAGGTGCTCAGGCAGCAGCAGCAACAACTAATTCTTCTCCTTTGTTAGCCGTCGTAAGCACCCTTCATGCCCACCTCGTCTTCACCCACCAAGACGCACCACGTTGTGCTGGAGGATGACGGGGAGTACTTTGAGGTGGATCCAACGGTGGGCCGCAACGTGCCGCGTGATCCGGCGGGGCAGCTGACCTGGACACCGATGCAGCCGGTGGAAGCCACAGAGGAGTTTATGGCGGTCCTTCAACAAAGCCGAGAAGATGCAAAAGGACCTGCTTCGCCCACCGCGTAAACTCACTTGAGTGCTCTCTTTCCGAGGCGGCGCCTCGTTGGAGGGAAAAGAAAAAGGCGGTCACACACACACAACCCAATCGCCATACACGCAAAGCAACGCCATCAGCAAGGGAGAAGATAGCGAAGAGAGGCAGCTCGCGCTGTCCGCATCGTTGCGGTGCGGCGATGCGCCTTTGCGCTCGGAAGGGTTTTTCTCTCCTGCGCGTGCTTTGGCTGTGGCGATGGATGGTGCGGGGCATCTTGAAGTGCGCGGGGGAGCGCAGCAGCATTTGGCGTTGAACCAAGCGTAATGAACTCGACCGTCCAGATAAAAGGAGTGCTTTTCTCCTCTTCTCTCCCTTTCTCCTGTCCCTCCCCGGGCATGCGCGGGAAGATGCACTCCACACGAAGCAGCGGCACGGCAACGGGGACTCGGCACGCTTTGCAAGTCGTGTACGCAACTTGCTCGTGTCCCTCTCCCTCCTCTCGCAGTGCCACCGCACTGCATTGCACACCCGCTGTCGACCCTCTCTCGCCTCTTTTCTTCTTCTTCATTTTTTTTACTTTACAGCGTCTCCGCCCCCACCGGTCCCCGCCCCCCTTCTTTCTCTTCTGCAGCTCCACGTGCGTGTTGCGTGCGTCACGGTGACTCTCGCAGATTTCAAGAGCAGCAGCAGCAAAGAAGAAGCTCCCTTCGGCACGGGACCGCACCTCTTCTTCTTTCTTTTCTATTTAGACCCCACGTGAAAATTCACACACACACACACACGCACGCGCATACGCACGTACGCGAATACGATCTTCACTTCAGCACCCGCTTCCGGCACCCCACGAAGCAAGCAAACCAAGCGACCCCCTCCCCTCTTCAAAAAAGGAGAAAGAAATGGCGCCTCGCACCGGCCCGCGTGTGAAGGTCGTCTCGCCCAACTCCGGCACCGTCACGACGCTCTCTCGCTCTATCAGTACCTCCTCCGCCTACGGCAGTGCGCGCGTCTCGCCCACCACCTCACCCTCGTCCTTCTCTTCCACGGGGCGCCAGCAACGTCACTACGGTGGTGGGCAGCGGCGACCCGACGAGGCAGAGGTGAAGCCGCCTCTTCAGCGATATACGGCTGCTGCTGCTGCTGCCTCGGTCACTCCCCCTCCGCCGCCGCCGCAGGCGGGAGGTAGGGTACTGCGGGCCATGGGCATCAACACAACCGCCGCGCCGTCCTTGTCGATGAGCAAGAAGAGTCGCGACGCACCCGCCAATCGCACGTCGCCTCCTCTCCCCAGTTCTTATCCATCCGCAGCACCCGACCGCTCGCTTCACAACAGCAGCGGCGGCGGCGGCAGCGGTATCTTTCCTCAACATGCGGTCGACCGGGTAGACCATCGCACACGGAAACGCAGCGAGGGCGATCTGCCGAACTACTTTGCCGAGGTTGAGCGCCGCCACGCAAGCTACGCCCCCCCGTCGTCTCGCCCTCGTCCACCGCAACCGCCGTCTTTTGCTACCGCGACCTCCACGCAGGAGCGCACGCCACCGCCGCCGCCACCGCAGACGCGCCGTCGCCGCGACGCCGCCGAGGAGGTGGAGAACATGGAGGCGATTCGCCGGGCTCGGGCCGCGCTCGAACGTGCCGGAGACGGCGTGCTGCGCCGTCCTGCTCACAACAGCAGCAGCGATGCTAGTGGCAGTGGTGGACACCTCAACACATCATCGACCTCCACGTTGAACGCGTCATCGAACAAGTCGGCGTCGTCGCTGATGGGCGGTAGCGTGTCCTCGTTGCCGCGGCGACGGCCTGCCTCTGCCTCACCTGGCGCCCCTGCGCAGTCCTCTGCGTCCCGTCGTGGCCTGCGGCTCCCGCCTTCCATTCCTATCACCTGCGCCGCCAGCGAAGGCGACGCAGATACAGACACAGAGGGGCGCAGTGAGGCGAGTGTCTGCAGCAACGGCTCGTCCCGCAAGCGGGCGCGCTCGTGGGCGAAGGAGGGCATTGAGAATGCCGCCGCTCTGGCACGGCGACGCAACCGGGCTGCTGCTGCTGCTGCTGCTGCTGCAGCAACGACCAGTCAGAATGTCAGCTCCCTCTCTTCTTCGTATTACACCACTGACCTGTCCGTTAAGAAGGAGAGCGCCGATGCGGTGTCATCGTCGGCAGAGCGGCGTGTGTGTCCTGGCATGTTCAGCGGAGTCAGCGCCCTTCCGCTGGACCCGCAGCTCTTTGCGGGGGCGGAGCACAACACGGGTGCTGACGCGGCGTCACTATCCGCATCGCAGATGAGCAGAGCGGACACCGCGAGCGGCGAGCACCACCGCAGCAACGCGCGGCAGCCGCAACAGCGATACTGCGTCCAACCTCGCTGGAGTCTTGTCGGCACCTTCAAGACGTCGCTGAGCGGGCTGGTCGCCGTCGACGTCCACCACGACTGCCTGCGCTGGTCTCAGCGCAACCCCAAAGGCGGTCAGCAGAGCATTAAGGTGCCGCTGTCACACGTTTTGGATGTGTTCACCACGCGTGTCGTGCAGGAGGACGAGCACGTCGCGGAGAAGAGCTTCACCGTTGTGGTGCGCACCTCCACGCGTCCTTCGCAGGTGGTGTTTGGGTTTGCCACCGCGACGGAGGCCAATCACCTGCGCAGCCTCCTGAGGCGACATTAAGTGCTTGAATCGAAGGTAAGGCGCTTCTTGCGTTTTCGTTTTCTTCTGAAGGATGCGGTGGGAGGAACTCCTTGTATTTATATATTGTGTCTCGTTACTGCGTTACACTTAGAAGTTGTTGGACGCCAAACTGTGTGGCAAGCAACCAGGTGCCGCGGAAGAGCAGTACTTCGCTCCTTCGCGCGTTTCTGTAGACAGGCTGACACATTTTTTCTTTCCTTTTCTAGACTCATACATTACCCGTGGGCTTGTGTTTCTCTATTGCTCTCTTCGAATGCGATCCCGCTTCACCATCTTTTGGTTTCTTCCGCCATGCCGAAATGCTGGCTGCTGTTGGGCGCATCGAGTGCGGGAGAGGTGGAGGCGCAGGGATGCCCACAGGAGAGATTCATGTTGAACATCTGTGCTTCTATCTCTAGAAAAAAAGTGAGAAGGCAACGAAGAGGAGAGGGAAAGAAGGCCCCGTCTCCTCGTGTCTGCATCGCAGCGCGGAGGCTCTCCGCGGCGTACTGTCGCAGCATTTGTGGTGGGCTTTTAACGTTTTAAGTGATCTCGCGAGGTTCATTTACGCACTCGGCCCCTCCACGAGTACCAGGGCTGACGTAGCGCTGAAAAGCGCTGCGTGTTGCTCGTTAATGTTTGCCGATGTTGACGTTCTAACAGAGCGCAGTATGTATCTGCTCCGCTTCATCACCTTTCACTTTAACGGCACTGGTGAATGCGCTTTCTCGTTGAGTCGCACCTCTCTCATCGTGCAGGGCTGTGGTGGTTCATTTGGCAGCGTTACGCACCTCTCTCCCCCGACCTTCCTTTTTTTTTCTCTCTCGCCCTTCCCGACGCTGAGCGCCTTCTCTCGTGCAGGAAGCAGGAGCGACGCTGACGCCGTAGTCGCACGTTGAGCGCCTCGCCTCACCCCACTGCTGGTGATTTGTGAGAGGTCACAGGCCTCCGTATTGCAAAGAAGCAACATAACAAGGAGAGATTCATTTCGGTACCTTCGACTTCGCCATGCGGACTGCAAAGACGAATGGGGGGCCGAACCTTGCCTCCCCCTCCGCAGCAACCAGCACCAACAGGAGCAGCAGCGGCCCCAACCGTGGCGCGTCGGACGGCCACACATTTCCTTCTCACGCGACCGGCGGGCTTTCCTTGTCAGGCGAGGCATCGCTCGCTTCTCAGGATCTGGTCCGGCAGCTGCTGTGTATCGCTCGCGGCGACCTTTCCACCGCCGTCGCGCTCGGCACCGCCGACGCAAACCCGCAGTGTGCCGACACGCTCAGCGGACCCACCGCGGCAGGCGGGCGGCCCTCGAGTGGTTCACCGAGCGATACCGGCGGAGGTGGCAGCGGCAGCGGCGACGACGCCGCGAAGCGTGACGCGCAGGCGAGGACGGCGGCTGTGCGAGGAGCGGCATCTCTTGGCTTTTCGAGCGTCCCTCAACCTGTGCCAGTGCGCTGTGCTACCGACAACTCTGCACTGCTGCAGTCCTCTGCACCGCAGGCTGCCGACGGCGTCACCGCCATTTCCACATTAGCTCTACCTGCTACTGCCGGGAGTGCAGCTGCGAGGGAAGCGCCGTCGTGTGCTTCGACCGATGCAGGGGTCGGCGCCTTCTACCTCACCGCCTTCGTTGCCCGCGCCTTACACATGGAGGATTACTGGGTCAGCCTTGCCCATCAAATCGAGGTGGACCAACACGTGGAGTTCATTCAGTTCTGCGCCGACGCCGGCTTTGGCACCCTCAAAACGATTCATCTGCTGCAGTGGTGGAAGCAGTATCGTGCGCTGGTGCGGGACGTGCGTGCGACGCACTCCCTGCAGCTGTCGGATGGAAACCCGCAGGCGCCCCCGCCGCCGTCGTCGCCGTCTGGCCTGGTGGAGCCGACGAGCGCCGCTGTCGTCGCAGCTGGCGGCGGTGGCGAGAGCAACACAGCAGCCGTCACCGGAGCAGCGGGGAGAGACGCAGCTGCGGGAGGCGCAAAAGGGGCACCAAAGAAAGGCCGTCGTGTCAGTGCCGCAGGCGGAACAGCTGCCGCAGCGGCGGCGTCGGATGCGGAGGCTCGAGCTGCTGCCGCGGCTTCTCCCCACCCGTCTGCCACCCCCGCGACGGCCTACCGCTCACACGACGAGGCGGTGCGGATGGAACTACAGCGCTTTGTGCAGTGGGAGTTGGAGCACGAGTACGGTTGGCGTCTCGTTCCGCGCGAGCCGTTCTCCGCCGTGCCATCCGGGCTGTTCCCCCCATCAGCCGGGGCTGCAGCGACAGCATCATCCGCCGCTGGCGCAGCAGCCGCCGTGGCAGCGACAGGCACCGTCTCTTCCGCGTCTTCTCAGGCGGCCGGGGGCAAAACTTCTAAGGCCGACAAGGCGAAGATGCAGCTACAGCAGCAGCAGGAGCTGGAGCTGGAGGAGCAGCGACTGGCCCGCATCGCCGCCCTGCCGCGGGAAAATATTTTCCTCACCACCGCAGAAGTCGACGGCTTCGTGCGGGTGGTGGTGACGGAGGACCTATTAGCGCACGCTGCGCTGCACGCCTATGTGGCGACGCAGGCGTGTCAGCCCCCTCACACCCTCGCCCACGCCGCAGCGGCGCCAGTGTTCTTCTCGGTGCAGGTCGAAGTGCCCATGTCGGTGCCGCCGCTGAAGGAGGCTACCAAGCTCGTTGCTGCTGCCGCTGCAGCCCCGGCGACGGCCACGACGTCCGGCACCCGGCTCAGCGGCGATGCCGCCGATGGACACCACATCAGCAGCACCAGCGGCACCGGCCAGCGCTCGCCGCTGCGGCCACCGAGCAACGCGCAGTCGAAGCCGCGATCGAGGGGCAATTCCAAGCCTCCAGCCGCCGCCGCCGCAGCGGCGGGCACCACCGCGACGACAACCGCAGCGGAGGGGGACCGTGGCAGTGAGGAGCTTTCCTCCACCCTGCATGGCCGGCCCTTGGTGCTGTCCGCCATGGAGGCCCTCCGCGCGGAGCAGGCGAAGGAGGCGGCCGCGTACGCTGCGGCCTACGCGGAGGAGTTGGCGTACACCGCAGCGCAGAAGCAACAGGCGCAGCACGCCGCCGATGTGGACCTCTTTTTTGAGAAGTCAACCACCAAGACGGCGGTGCGGGCAGTTTACGAGAGCATGGAGGACGCCGTGTCGGCCCGACAGCAGCGCATTCTGCAACGTGTGACCGCGCTGGAGCAGACGCTGGGTTTGACGGAGGGAGGCAGCGTTGAGGGCGGCGGCGCAGCAGCAGCAGCAGCAGCAACGACGACGACGGGTGGGAAGCCCGGTGCGGCGAAGGCGCAGTGAGAACAACCACACCAAGAAGATGTGGTTGTGTCGCAAGAGCGGTCTTCTCTAGAGCCATTCCTTGTTTTCCTTTTGGTCTGTTTCCGATGTACATCACGGAGTTATGTAAATACCAAATAATAACGAGAAAAGAGGGAGGTAGATGTGTGTGTGTGTGTGTGTGTGTGGAGGGGGTCGGCTGCTTCTCGAATGAAGAGAGCACCGTTCACCCCACTCGCACTGAACCGTCTTCAAATCTCCTTTTCTTCTCCCCCTTGTTCATTAGTCTGCGAGCGCCGTTTGGCGAATCGCTGTTCGCGTTGAGGTGGCGAGTGTTGTGCCGGGTCACGGAATCACCGTCTACGGAAAACAAGCAAACCAGCAAGAAGGATGGATACCTTTATATAGGGAGAGAGAGAGAGACATACACGCAGTTACAACAACCGAAAGCGCGGCTCGACTCCTGTGCGTGATGCCGACTTCTCCGCTGGCCGAAGCGTGGACGGACTACAAAAAAAGTTTATCTCTTTTTCTTTGTGATTAGCAGCGAAGCGGGAGTTGCGCAAGTAAACCCTTCACGCACTTTATTTCGGATGAGTGAGGGAGCAAGAACGTCATCATCAACAGCAGCAACGGGCGGCTATGACATCTGCGTAGGGCTTGTATGCGGCGGCGGCGTGGGCCTTCTCTTTCTCCCGCTGCGGCGTGGATGTGGGGGCTCCTCGCCAAGACAACACGTTTCTTGCAGTACTCGCCTCTGTCTTTACTTTCCTTTTCTTGTGGGTACGTGGAGACGCCTCTCGCGTGTCGCTTCAGAGGCATGCACGCAACCGCGGTCTTCGCCATACGTGCAACAGCGATAGAGAGGACCCCAGCGCGGCAGCCACCGTCCGTTGCACACGCAACGACACACCATCTTCTCGCTCAGTTTCACTTTTTCCCCCTTTCGTTCTGGTCTTGATCCTTCCTTCATCACACACGCACACACACCCACACACATGTATATTGCAGTCCACGCTAATTCGAAGAAGGCATCCTCCGCCGTCGCCTCCTCCCTCCTCAATGACGATAGAAGGCCGATCCACGCCGCAAGAGAACCAACTACGTGTATAATGGCTGGAATAGATACATAAAGGGCACCCCTATAAATATAAATGTATTTATACGTGTTTGCAAATATGTTCATCTCAAAATCGATACAGACATGAAACTCACCTCGAAGTCACGAACACCGCAGCGTGGTGGAGTGCACAGCACTGATGTCGATGCCTCCGCTGCCGCCACCACAGCGGCTCGTGTTCTCCCCTCTTCCTCCTCCTCCTCTTCAGCGACCACGATCACAACCATAAAAGCCGCTGTCCGTGTGCGGCCACTCATCGAGGCGGAGCGGCACACACCCGGCAACGTAGAAGATGCAGCGGCATCCTCCGGCAACGAAGTAATTCGGGTCGTGACCGCGGCAGGAAAGCTCACCCGCCCAATGGAGAGCGCGTACACGCTGGAGGTGCTGCAGCCACCACCGCCCTCGCAAGCCGCGAGTGCAACGACGAAGTCAGCACGGAAAGGACGCGGCGCGGGCGTGGCCTCTTTTGCTTCCTCCGACGTTTCCGCGTTGAGAGCAAAGGCCTACGCGTTCGACTACTGCGCCGGCCCCTTCACCAGCCAAGAGGAGCTCTTCGCGATGTTGGACATGCCGGCGATGTGCGAGGCGGCCTTGTCGGGTCAGGTGGTGACCGTCTTCTGTTTCGGCCAAACAGGCAGTGGGAAGACCTACACGTTAAGTGGCCGCACCCTCGATGGCGCAGCGGCGGGGGAGACGGTCGGCAGCCCCGACGGCCCGTTGGTGTCCGAGGACGGGCTGCAGTACCAAGCCGCCGTGTACGTGGCGCGCCGACTGAAAGAGATGCGCCACGCTGTCAAAAAGAAACAGAAATTAGCGAGGGCAGATGCAGGCGCTTCGGACGATACGCACGACGGCATCGAGGGGCGGCCTACCGGTGCCTCGATCGTGGTCGCCAAGTGCTCCTACATTGAGCTCTACCAAGAGGCTCTTTACGATCTCCTGCAAGCGGACAGCCCCGAAACCGTGCGCTGCCGCTGGTCCGCCGTGGCGCAGTCTTTCTTCGTGGAGGGCTCCCTCTTGGTGGAGTGTAGAAACAAAGAGGACTTTTTGGCGGTGCTGCGCGAGGGCCAGCGCAATCGTCAGCGAGGCAGTCACGCGTTGAACCGCGACAGCAGTCGCTCCCACGTTGTCTTCACGATCTTCTTTGACGTGTCGGACGAGGCGGAGGGAGAGAAGGGAGAGAAGGGCGAAGACGGAGGTGTGCACGCTGGCGGCGCCATGGAGGGAGGTGCGAAGCGAAAAGGCCGTCGCTACGGCCGTCTCGTGTTTGTCGACCTCGCCGGCTCGGAGCGGCTCAAGAAGTCACAGTCCACCAGCGGAGCGGAGACGGGGTCCATCAACAAGTCCCTCTTCACCCTAGGCCACGTGCTGGAGCTGCTCTCTACCACGAATGCCTCCGCTGCTGCCGTGCCCACAACAGCGGAGAAGGCAGCCGCCAAGCCTCCCCCACCCTTCATCCCGTACCGGTCCAGCATTCTGACCCAGCTGCTGATGCACAGCCTCGACGGACACGGCCGCACGTTAATGGTCGCCTGCGTCAGCCCCAGCGTGCTCCACCTCGAGGAGTCCCTCCGCACGTTGCACTACGCGCAGCGTGCCCGTCGCATTCGCACAACCCCCGTCATGCACGTCGACGCGGAGACGCAGCAGCGGATGGCGCTGGAGAGGACGGTGGCGGAGCTGCAGAGGGAGAATGCGATGCTGCGTCGTGCGCTGCAGCTCCCGCGTGCGGGCCCGTTGTCGGAGGAGGAGGTGCACACATCGCTAGAGGCGCTGCTGCATGGTACTTGGGACTCGGTCGCACCAGCGACAAGAGAGAGCGCGACGGCGTTGTCAGCTCCTGCTGCTGCTGCTGGTGCGAAGAAGAAGTGGAGTACAGCGGCGGCGGTGTCACGTTCCACCGCCCCTCCTGCAGCGAGTTGCGCCGAGAAGCCACCGTGGAATTCAGACTCTGCGCCCCTTCACAGCCATTCGTCACCACCACCGTCACCGTCGCCGTCGCCGTCCCCTCCAACCGCAAACGGCGATGGCACGGCGACAGTGAGTATTTTGGCGCTGTTGGATGCGTTGCCGGATACCCGCTCCATCACGTGAAGCACGACACCTCCGTCCCTTTCCCCCCTGCGTCCTTTATTGGTGGGTCCCGTGACGGAGGTGTGCTTCCTTCCTTTTCCGGTGTTTTGCGCATTGATCGCTGCTGCTGGCAAGGCGGAGATGTATCAAAAACGATGCATAAACATACCTATAGTTAATGTGGGTGGGTCGCTCGGCTTCTGGGTGCGCTGCTCTCCCCTTCTGTTTTAGTTCTGACTGCGTCAATTCCATCAAGAAGCCGAACGCTCAGGCGGCTGCACACCCCATGTTGTGCGCGCGTGCAGAGGCCTTTTCCATGAGATCGCCAACGGCTAGAGCCGTTCATTCCTCTCTTCATCGTTCTCTCCCCCTACTCCTTCTCTCCTTGCCTTCCAGCGTCACCGGAACATCGACCGCTTCGCGCTTTCCCACCTACTCCACACAAGTTACTGCATCTCCAAGAGCAGTCTATTGCACGCCAAAGAAACGAACCGACATACATCTATTGCTTTTTAAGAATTTCTTCCACATGCGGCTTCTCACGCACAACTTCCTCGCGTGTCTGCAGTGTGACACCTCCCCCCTCCTCCTCACCGCCACCGACGTCGAGGAGATCCCGGTGGAGTACGACGCGGAGTTCACGCGACGCATGCTGGCGCGCATCGACTACCCAAGTCTGCGCACGACATTTCACAAGCTGAGGGCGGCACACGATCTCGTGCGAGGGCACTCGGGGGAGCTGCCGGCGACGTTGGACGGGGCCGACCTGACGGATGAAAGCGAATTTCTCCGGTGCGCGCACTACGCGCTCAACGTAATCGCCGTGAAGAACGGTGCGCTGCAGTGCCCAGCGTGCAAGACGACGTACGCCGTGCACGAGTTCATTCCGAACTTCGTGCAGGAGAACAAGTGAGACTACGAAACAGAGAGGCAGCAGCAGCAACAGCAACAGCGAGAAGATCTGTCTGACTGCTCTGCTGTTGCTGGTTCAGCTGTTGCTGGTACGAAGCACCGGGTGGCGCCGGGTCCCCTGCTTCCTCTTCCACCCACCGTAGTGTGGTGGCAAACGTGAAGGAGGTCTGTTGCGGCCGCAGCGTTTGCTGCTGTTCGCGGTGGTGCTGTGTTGTGTCTGAAGAAGTGACCGTTAACGCGTGTAATTCAACTGCGATTATTCTTCGTCTTTTTCTTCTGTAAGTTCTCTGTTCTCTGCGTGCGGGTCCGCAGGGTCAGTGAAGGGTCATGCCGAACGTGCTTCGTGGCGGGGTGCACGTGTCCCTCTCGGCACCATGCAAGTTCTCATTAAAGCTTCTGCAAAGAAAAACGCGAGTTCAAACAGCTGGAAGGTGAAATCGAAGTACGATGCGGCCGTGCTGCTGATCGAGGGGACGCGAATTGTGGCGCCAGCACTTGAGGCGGGACGCTAATGCGTCCTTCTCCCCCCCCCTCCTCCTCCGTTCTTCTCTTTCCTCTGTTTAAGCGGTTTCGTCGCTTCATGTAAGCTGCGTCTGTCGCCGAACGTTTGCTGAGGCGAATATGTGGTCCATCGCGCCGTTAGTTTTGAGGTATCAGCAAGTGTCTGAGATGGCCGTCTCTTTGTTGTACATATCGTTTACTGTAACTGCGTATCTCTCTGCTCTTTTTCTTACCTCCCTCCCCCTCTTCAAAGTGGCGCCACCTCGCACACGGGCAGCTGCATAGAAGCGCATCTTGCTCATAGATTACCGATCGAGGGAGTACGGCTGTGTCGCCGTACATGTATCGAAATTTCATTGGATTATAGAGGTAGCGTCGGTGCGTCTTTCTTCTAGACACACCGCTGTAGCGCGAAGGAGCCGACGTCGTCAGCATTTATGTGCTTCTGCTCCGCACGTCGCGGACTCTTCCCCCTTCTCTTATTTATACAACACATAACAAGAGCGTGCACCAGCGAACTGGACAGCGCAACGACACCCACCGTTCACCACAGCAGCACCACTATTCTCTGCCCGAGTCGCCATGTCCAAGCTGCTCCGCAAGCACCGCACACGCGACCTCACCATACTGGACCGCGTATACGAGCATATCAGCCTGCCGCCGCTCATCGTGGCGGCCATCGACACACCTGAGTTTCAGCGCCTCCGCACGCTGCACCAGCTCGGCGCCTCCTCCTTTCTCTACCCCGGCGCGGTACACACGCGCTTTGAGCACAGCATCGGCGTCGCCCACATGGCCCGCACCCTCCTCCTCAACTTTCAGCATCATCAGCCGGATTTAGGGCTGAGTGAGGTGGATATTGAGCTCGGGATGTTGGCCGGCTTGTTTCACGATGTCGGCCACGGTCCCTTCTCCCACTTGTTCGAGGACGTCGTCTCGGGCCGCTGCGGGATTGAGTTCAACCACGAGGACATGTCGGAGCGCATTGCACGGCGAGTGTTGGGGGACCTCATCCCCCGTGCCCACGTCGACGTCGTCGTTGGCCTGATGCGCGGGAGGCCGATGCCGGGCATCACGTACAATGAGATTATCAGCAACAAGCGCAACGGAATTGACGTGGACCGGTTGGACTACTTCATTCGAGACTCGATGTGCTGCTTCGGCAAGCCAACCGTCGACGTCCGCGTGAATCGGCTTTTTAACTCGGCGAGGATGGTGTGCGAGGGTGGGCAGTGGCAGCTGGCGTTCGAGCAGAAGCTGGCCCTGTCCCTGCGCGAGATCTTCACCCTGCGTGCGAAGCTGCACAAGAACGTGTATCAGCACCAGGTCACCAAGGCGATCGGACACATGATTGGCGACATCATCCACGCCGCGGCACCGTACTTCACGGTGGGCGGACACACCTTGGTGGAGTGTGCGCAAGACGAGACACTTTTTGTGAAGCTGGGCGACTGGATTCTGGAGGCGATCGAGGCGAGTGAAAGCCCGCAACTGGCGGAGGCGCAAGCCATTCTGCACCGCCTGCGCACACGCGATTTGTACCGGGTCGTGTACTCCAGTGCGCTGGACATCACGCAGCGCGAGGCGTTGTCGACGGTGGAGTGGCACTCCGTCCTGCTCGCACACGCCCACCCGTCGTTTCCGTTCACGAGCAACGACTTCATCGCCGAGGTGGTGGTGATTAACCAAGGCAAGGGCGCCGCGGACCCGCTGGAGTCGGTTCTCTTCTTCAACCCAAAGAAACCCTCGCAGCCGCTTACACGGCTAAAGCAGGCAGAGGACGTAAAGCACAGCAGCCCGCTTTTCACGCCATTGCAATTTGAGGAACGCACGTTGATGGTGTTTGAGCGGCGGCCGACCAATGGCGCGGTACAGCGCGCGTGCGAAGCGCTCTGCGCGGATCCGGCTTTTACCGCGTTCTTCACGGGGTCGCTCCCCTTCTACAACGTGAAGTGAGCTGGCTACGACTGTGGGAAATTACGTGTTGCGTACAATCTCTCTCCCTCCCTCACGCACGCACGCATGAGCGGCGCTAAAACACGATACCACCTAAAAAGGAGGGAAGGAAGACTCAAAAGGAAAGGCTGCACTTTCATCTGGCGTTGTAGACGCCCTTGCAGTGAATTATTCTTTCGATGCAGCCGTACAAGGCAAAAGAACCCCCCCTCCCTCATGCCGATCGTTATGCATCTTGGCGGAGCGCAAAGCTGGTGGATCTCTTGGGTTCTTGTCTCCTCCGATTCTTCCCTTTCCTTTCTTCTTTTCCTTTCCCTTTGTGATCAACACTCGTGTTACCGTGCAAAACGGGCGCGGCAGAGGAAACTATCGACCACTATCGTGCGCTGCAGCGCCGACGCAGCAAGGCACCTCCGCAGAACACCCAATCCACCGGCTGGCAACATCGGGAGGAGGAGGAGGAGGAGGCGGAGAGAAGACAGGAGGCGACAAGACGCAAACAACAGCACAACAACAGCCAAAAAGAAAAGAGAAGAGAGATGCTACAGCGAAGTCGCTGCCTGCTCGTGCGGCTTCCAAAGACCCGCCGCCCCCGTGAGCGGCCGTGGGAGATCTTCAATACCCGCGACTACGGCTTTCACGAGGGCTCGCAGAACTACTCCATGTGGTTCGGCACGGCGATCCTGGTAACGGCCATGCTGGGGTTTGAGGTCTATCAGCAGGTGCGGCGAGTACTGCAGCGCGGGGATTCCTGCCCGGCCTGCGAGGCGGCGCGGGAGCACTACCGCAAACGTGTGGAGGAGCGTGATAAAGAGATCGATGCGGCGCGGCAACATGACGAGACGATGCGCCTCTTTCGCAGCTCCGCGCGGAGGTGAAGCCCCGCCTTCTCTTCCCGTTCTTTCTTCTTCGCACGTTTTTTTGTTTGTTTTCTTGAGTGTCTGCTGAAAGAGCGTGGGCGTGCGTGTGTGTCTGCGTGGTACGCCCGTATCCCTCCAAAAGAAAAGCAATGGAGGATGCTTTCAGCCTCCCAAAAGGGCGCGTGCGTCGCGGGTGGCGGCGACGGGGAGTTGCTCACTGCAGCTTCTCTCCTACGTTTTTTTTGGGTTTCCACACATCTCCACACAAACGCTGATCGCCTTTATGAAACGCATGAGTTTGCTTGTGCGCTTAGAAGACATAAAAAAGTGTCCAGCGTACGACAGTGCTGTTCGATGGGGAAAAAAGGAAATGAAAAGAAAAGCACGTGCTACTGCTGCTGAACTGTGGCGGCGCCCTGGAGCGTTCTTCTCATGGAAGGGACCTCGGTGTGTTTCGCGCTGATCCCAAAGCGCGGCGTCTCTCCACATCAACTCGTGGTTTCGAAAAGAAATGCGTACACCGTGCTCTCGTGTTCTTTTGTTATTCCTCTCCCTTTTTTTCCTCTATTCCTTTTCTTTTTCCTTTTTGAAGTTTTAAGATTCACCTCGTCGCTTTCCATTGCAGTTGACGTAGCAGCAAAGCGAGAGCGTCGTCACGTGTGTTCTCTGCCGTCCTATCTTTTGCCCCTTTTCAGGTTTTTCTTTCAGATCTATTCCTCCTCCTCCGTCATCGTTATTCCAGCGTTCCGTTCTCGGCGAACACACGCATTCACTGCCCCGATCCCATCCCAGCTGCCACCATGATCGAGGACCACTCCGAGTACGGGCACAGCTACTACCCGAAGAAGTTAGCCACCTCCGTTCTTACGCTGCCGCAGCAAGGGGCGAGGCAGCAGCAGTGGAGCCCGTACCAAGACAACGGCGGCACGACGGCTGCAATCGCCGGAAAGGATTTCGTCATCCTCGCCGGCGACACGCGGCTGAACGGCGACTTCTGCCTCCACACCCGCCACGATGAGAGCAAGATCTTCCAGCTGACGGACCGGACCTTCATGGCGAGCAACGGGATGCAGGCGGACCGGCTGCAGCTGCAGCAGATGCTAAAGTATCGCATAAAGTGGTATCGATACAACAACGGAGGCAAGGTGCCCCCAACGAAGGCGATTGCGCAGCTCATGTCCACGATGCTGTACCATCGGCGGTTTTTTCCGTATTACACGTTTAACATGATCGTGGGACTTGATGAGGAGGGCCGCGGGGTGTGCTACAGCTACGACGCGGTGGGCTCGACGGAGCCCTTCACGTACGGCACGCGGGGCAGCGCGGCGAGCTTTGTGGAGCCGCTGCTGGACTGCTTGATTATGCGACAGCACATGACGGGTCAGGCGCCGGCCGATATGTCCAAGGAGGAGGCGCTGGCGATGCTGAAGAACGCCTTTACCGGGGCGGCCGAGCGCGATATCTTCACGGGCGACTCCGTGTCTTTCTTCACCATCACGAAGGACGGCGTTCAGCGCGAGAGCTTCCCGCTGCGCAAGGATTAGCGTGCGGGAGCGCGAGCGAGGCAAAGCGAAGTGGAGGGCGAAGTGGAGGCTGCGCCGCGCGGAGTCTCTTCTTGTCACCTCTCTCCTTATTATTGTTATGCGATGTTTTTTCTCTCTCTTTCTTTTCCAATGCTGAGTGTGTCCTACGCGTTTCGTCAGCCAGCGAGGGAGAAGCTTCCATCGTCTGCGATTGACTGCGCCAACTACTATTCTCATGAGCACACCTTGTGTTGCCGTTTTATGGTCTTTGTACGCTGTTTCGTGTAGCTCTTGTGCGCTGTGCCTTTCTTCGTCCTCTGCGGTTTCGGAAGGTGTGTTTGTCCCTTAGAAAGGGAAAGAGGCGACGCATCAACAGTGGGGGTGCGTGCACGGCGGCCGCACGCCCGCCACACACGCGTGTTGTCTTTCTTTTTATTTTACTTTTTATTATTATTATTGTCGTTCCATACTTTGTTGTCCAAGCTACAAGCCGCACGCACATCGGGGAGAGGGAGCGAGCAAACTTCGTGCGCGCTGCCGTGGATTGTGCGTAGGCGGGCGGTTGTCGCGGCGATAGGTGGAGGAGCGGGAGAGGGGGCGAGAGGAAGGCGGTCACCGCTTGGCTCACCGATGTTGCTCTTTGCTTTTTCTATGGATAAGATTGCGCGGGTCTTGGGATCCAGCTCGCTGTGGGGCGCCTGTCGCGTGCGCTTCGTGACGTGCGTGGGGAGTATCTCGCCCGTTGACTTTTCTCATTTTGGAAAAAGAAAGTTGGGTTGTGCCATTGGGGCAGTCCCAGTCGTTGTCTCTGCCGACACAGATCGCCGCTTACTTGTTTCCTCCAATCTGATCTCTGCCCCTTTCTTTTTGTTTCCGAATGCGTCGTTGCTCTGCATTTCGGAGGACGGCAAGGCAGCCACGTATATATTATACCCACAAAATATAGTTGAAGTGTTTTTGTCGGGATCGAGGAACGGCACCGACGTGGCCAGAAGCAATACCGAAAATAATAATAGTATACGAAAGAAGTACGACAATCACGCATACGCGCACAACGCACCACATCGTGGACCTCTCCTTTCTTTTTTTCCCAGTCCCTTGCCGTCCCAACTAGACACGCTTCCTCACGCCTTCCCAACTTTATATAAAGGTCCGCCATGTCCAAATCAGCGTCGTCCAAGAAGTCCAACATCGTGGCCTTTTACGAGGTGCACGACGCGCAGTACGGCCTCCTCAGCCCCCTCTCCCCCACCCCACTCGTCGTCCGGCACGTGCAGTACCCCTCCCTCCACCACTACTTCTTGTGCGAGCGCTTCAAGGACACGCCGGCCGAGCAGTGGATATTGGAGGCGACGACGGTGTGGTCGCTTGACCGACTCGTCAAGACCGCTGAGGCGGAAGGCTATCAGCGGAGTAACTGGAATAAAGTGAAGGTAGACGTGATGCTGCTCGGCACGTATCTGAAGTTCAAGCAAAACGAAGCCGCCCGCGCGGTGCTGCTGAATACGCAGGCAGCGTTGCTGCTGTACCACACGACGACGGATGACTTTTGGGGAGACGGCGGCGATGGGAAGGGAAAGAACGTGCTGGGCACGGTGACGATGGCGGCGCGGTCGCGCTTACTGGCGGACCAGGAGCGTCAGCAGCAGCTGCTGCAGCAGCAACAGCAGTCGTCACTTCCGCAGCCGCAGCAACCGCCGTCGAGTAAGCGCGGGGAGGCGAGTACGCGAGCGGTGAAGGTTGGCGCCGGAGCTGCTCGTGCCTAAGATGGGTGGTGGTGATGGCAGTCCCGTGCTGTGTTGTTCGTGTCTGTTCGCCCTCTCCTGCTTGTGTTGGTGCTTTCTCTGCTCGTTCTTCCAAGCGTTTTTTATTATTACTGGTTTTGATGTTGTTCTGGGGTCGTGCGCAGCTGCCTGCCCGTGTGCTCCCCACCCCGTAGCCCCGGCGGGTGAAGACGAAAAGGTGATGCGACAGAGGTAGAGGACGCCGCGTGATGGCGCGACTTCTTTTACTTCTGGCGTTGTTCAAAAAAGAGCCTTTTGTGTTCTCCCCTCCTGTTTGTGGCTTCACACGTGTTGCCCGCTTCATTTACCCCCCTCTCTTTAGGTGATGTACAGTAGAACGGAGGGCGGACGGCGAAGGATCGCCTGTCCTCACACACATATATATATATATATACATATACATATTCATCAAGTCGGCCTTTGCACGGAACGGGATTAACTCCTAAAAGGGGCTCCTCTTTCTGCGGGTGGCAAGAACAAAAGGAAGTGTGTCTTCCTGCGTGTGGCGAGGGAAAATAGAAACAGACAAGGTCGTCTGTGCTTCGTCTTTCAATTCCAATCAACTGGCGTAGACAGCGGCGGAACGCCTCCTCTTTGTTTGACCGACTTGGCTATGCCAACCTGCCTGGCCTCTTTGCAGTATCCTGCTGTTCAACATCTTTACCTTTATATACATATATACATATATATATATATATATATATATGTATTGAAGCTCTCTCGAACTCCCTCTCTAAGGAAAAAGAAACGTCCCTTTCTTCTCCAACCCGATTCATTTCATACATCTTTCTTCTGCTGCTTCTGGCGCTGCTGCATACGTGCTCGGCGTGGCCCCACCGCTGCTGCCGCCACTACCAACTCCTTCTCTCTCTCTCTATTGGATAAATCCTCCTCGCATCGCTTGCGTTAACGAAGGAGAGCAAAAGAGCCTTCTTTCTTCTTCTTCTTCGCTGCCTTTCATCAACTACGTGTCGACCTCTGCGGTATTCAATCAAAAAAGAGAAACCCCTTTTCATTTCGCCCAGCCGATTAAGCGGTGTCGTCCAACCACGACGCTTTTCTTCCCCAACAGGCGCCCTCGCAGCATCATGCGCGCCGTCGTGGCCCTCGCCCTCCTCGCGGCGGTGATCTTCACCGTCTGCAACGTGGTCTCCGCAGAGCCGGTGGTGACCGACAAGGTCTTCTTCGACATCACCATCGGCGACGAACCCGCCGGCCGCATTGTGATCGGTCTCTTCGGCAAAGAGGTGCCCAAGACGGCGGCGAACTTCAGGCAGCTCTGCACGGGCGAGCACGGCTTCGGCTACAAGAACTCCATTTTCCACCGCGTCATTCAGAACTTCATGATCCAGGGCGGCGACTTCACCAACTTCGACGGCACCGGTGGTAAGTCGATCTACGGCGCCAAGTTCGAGGACGAGAACTTCAACGTTAAACACTTCGTCGGCGCGCTCTCCATGGCCAACGCGGGCGCGAACACCAACGGCTCGCAGTTCTTCATCACGACGGCCGCGACGCCGTGGCTGGACGGGCGTCACGTCGTGTTCGGTAAGGTGGTGGACGGCATGGACATCGTGCGCCGCATCGAGCGCACCAAAACGAATAACCGCGATCTCCCGGTCAAGACGGTGAAGGTGGTGGACAGCGGCGTCGTGGCGTAGAGGCGAAGGCCCCGCGCGGGAAGAAGGAAAGGGAAACAGACGCCCGCCAACGCGTTTGCGTGTTTTTTTTTCTTTGGTGGTGTGTGCGCGAGTGTGCTCAGGCACTGAGCTGCCCACGTACACGCACGCCAACGTGGGGGTGGCCGCCACCGCCGCCACCGCCGCCGCAGGAGCAACCACGAAGAAGCGGCTCTTGTGTGCGCACCGTTGTGCACTGTAAGACAGCGCAGAAAGGAAAAAGACGGAGGTAAAGCGAAACACGCTCACAAACAACCCTTCTTCTCTCTCTCTTGTTTTGTGATTTTAATGGGCTTCGAATATCGCAGAAAGTGGAAGAAACAAAAGTATAGTATCCAATGAAGCAGGTGGTGAGTTGGCGAGGCAAGTGCTTTAGACTTCCGAGGTGCTGCTGTCGTGTCGGGGTGTAGACCCCCCCCCACCACACACACAGGTGGCTTGACACAGCGGCGAAAGGACGATGACCAGAACAGATGCCCATGCGCGCTCTCTCGCATTACCGGAATGAAATGAAAAGGAGCTGGTAGAATTTTTACTCTTCGTTCGTTCAAATTCACGAGTTCTCGTGGTGTTTCCCACTAACCATTCAAGTTGGGAGAGATGTGACTGCCGCGGGTCTTTCCGCACCGCTGATCATCCACGCAGCGGGAAATAGAAACTGATAGCCCTTTTTCTAAATATTTTTTTGCTGTCTCTCTTTCCCCCCAACGCTCTCCTTTCTACTCTTCGTCGCTTAATCTACTCGCCGGCTATTTTTCGCTGTGTGTTGCATGAACGTCTCCCCCCCTCGCCCCTCCCCGCAGCTTTTAAACAATTCGCTGACGTAAACACATAAAGTTGTTGACGCCAGAGGAAGCCCCCGAAATAAACGAGAGGCTTCTTCCTTCTGGTTGCGGACTGCGCGTGCGTGCGTGTGTGTGTGTGTGCCTGTCCGCCCAGCTTGCTTTTTTCTCTTGCCGGTCTGGTGATAAAGAAAGCGCGGGCGCGACGTGGACGTTGCTGATCTTTAGAGGGCGCAAATACAACCAGCCGACTCGCTCCACACGTGCAACCAGCAAACTCAACTGCGTCGTAGTCCCCTCCCTCCCTCCCCTCTGCTGCTTTCAGACGGTCAGGAGCAACAGTAACCACCAGAATACAGCAGCGAAAAAAGAAGATCACCGTTGTACGCTTCTCCTTTGATTTCCCTTTGTGTAAGCTTCTTTTTTTCTTCTTGGTTTTCTTTTTGAGAGGAACTCAAACGAACCTTTTAAAGCTAGACTAAATTCTTTATTTCTATGAAGAAGGGAAACACTCTTAGTGGAGAAACGTGCTGATGCGCTACTCGTATTATAGGGGACTCATCCACGAGGAGCGCCGCAAACGTGGGCCGCACTACGGCCGACAGGCCCGCATACGTCAGCTGACAGTCCTCACCGTTCTCCTGCTCGGGCTGTACGTTGCCTGCACCTACAACATTTGGCGCCACCCGCGGCCCATTCAACACGTGTGGATTGATGATGTGTTGGTGGAGGTGATCTCTGAAAACTGGATCGATCACGCGCGCAGTGGTCTGCTCTGCCTCGGCCTGTGCTGCGCGGGGCTGCTCGGACTAGCGTACCTGTGCGCTGGCGTGCGTGTTTCCAGTGCCTCCCCGGTGGACGGCGCGGACGGCGCAGCTTCTCGCGCACGCGAGTCGCGTGGAAAGCGTGGTGGGCAGAAGCCGGAAAAGGACATCTCAACGATTGCGGTCCCCGCCTGGGCTCGCCGTCGCGCGGCGGGGCAGCAGCCGATATCCCTCACCTCGATGGAGGCGTTGCGCCACACGAGCGACGGCGTCGGCGCAGCGGCCACCGCTGCGGATCGCACGAGCGCCTTCGACGAGCGGCGCCCGATGCGCACCGACAACGACCTCAACGCCTTTTTGGCCTACGAAGCCGCACACGTCCGGCAACAGCAGCGGCAGCGCCTCTCCGTCGCTGACGGCGCTGGTGTGCGCTACCGCGGCACCGCGGAGGACAACATCTGTCAGAGCGACGTCGATGTCGTCGGTAGGGATGCGCTGAGCGTGACCTATGAAGGCGGCGGGGTACAGCGCCGCTCCAATCGCAGCGGTGGTGGTGGTGCGGACTCTGCGGCAGCCGCATCGTCTTTCCCGTTTGCCAGCGTCGGTGCCGCACCGACGCCCTCCACGCTGCCCTGGGCAGAGCTGGGGATTTCCCACGTCGATGAAGCCTTGCAGCGCACGCGGGAGTGGATGAGCGACGTGTGCCGCAAGCTGATCGACGACATAGACCAGTGCGACCGCTGGTTCAACGAGCACCAAATCGAAGCCTACGACTGCCACCACTCGCTACAGGAGCTGCTGCCTGCCCCGACTGCCACCGCCGCAGCCACGGCACCGTCGCAGGCTCGGCCCGGCAGCTGGTGGGGCACGACGAGCGCAGCACCGTCTTTCAGTGTGCCAGCAAGCCCGCAACTCGAGTCGAAGCTGACCGCCCTCCTACGCGAGAAGGCGTACTGCCGCCAGGCCCAGCAAGGGATGCAGGAACTCGACACCGCCCTCCGCTACGACCAACGACTGGCGCTCGAGGCGCGGCTGGACATCAGCGGCACCTTCCCCTCCCCCGCCTCCTCCGTCGCGCAGCCCACCAACGCGGCTTTGACGGCGATGCGCGAGTACGTCGTGGACCGTCTACGCACCTTTGCGAAGCAGCGATTTTTGGTTTCCTACCACGCGAGTGGCGGCGACGCGGCGACGTGGCGCAGCGGGTACCCGTGCGACGCCCATCTCCTCCTGCACGTCCTGCGCGTGTCCGTAAAAGGACTGAGCGAGTACGTGCGGTTTGGGTATCAGACGGGGACGCAGACGCAGGACCTCGCCTTGTGTGTCGGTGACACCGGTGAGCCGTACTTCTACGTGCGCTTTCGGCAAGGCAGCAGTGAGACGTTGCTGCCGACACGACAAGGGCCGACGTCGCTCATGGAGGCGGTATTGGCCTTTGCCGCAGTGATCCATACATACCACCGTGACGTGTTCGGAGGCGTTCGTGGGACCGTAGACTTGGCGGAGGTGGGGCTGCTGAGGGCGGTGGCGGAGAACCGTCCATCGGACTGGGGAGTAGGGGCTGATGCGGAGTGGTGAGGTGCGTATGGGTGGGTGGGTGCGTGTGTGGATGCACACTCACATACACGGTGCTTTCTTGGCTTTTTGTGGGTTCTATCTCTCTCTTCTTTCCGTTTTGCGGGAGGGGCTTCACGTGCTTCACGGGGCCACAAGGATCGCTGCGGGGATGGCGTTCAAAGGGATCAAAGTAAAAGTAAAAGTAAAAAAACATATACAAGGAAATGTAACGGACCGGCTCAGCACGATGTGGGCAGTGAGCCGTGAATTCTATTATCGCGTCTGCGCCTTCTTCTCTGCGTGCGCGTGCATCATCGTCGCTGCTCCGGCCGTCGGAGGCGCCGACGCATCCAAACTCCGCCTGCCGTCGTACATCGCGCCCGAGACAAGCAAATGCAAAGACAAGGGACGCTTCTCGTTTCCTCACGATAGGCGTAGGTGCGAATGGCGTCTTCGCAGTGGTTTTACCTTGTCTGTTGCGAGACGCACGGACACGCCTGTTGACTCCTTCTTAAACTGGCCTACGTCTCTCCTGCCTGTGTCTCCTTCTTTATCCGATGTGAAACGGCGCCTCTCCGCTATTTACGCCGTCGCTCCCGTCACTCGCTAGCCTGCCCCTAACGCTATCATTTTTCCCTTCTCCCTCGGTTCAAACAGGCGTCCGTGCGGCTCCTATATTGTTTCTCAGTGCTTGATGGGGGAGAAGTGGGCAGCGCAAGACAGACGACGTTGTCAGCCCCTTTTTCTTTTTTATCCGAATCCATTTCACTCCCTCGTGCCCGGCATTGGCCACGCGAGTGCAGTGAAGGCGTAACTCTAATCTTTTCTGTTGCTCGACTTCAACTCACACACACACACAGACACATTCCTAACGATATCTCCCCCATTTTCTGGGCTTTTTTTGTTCCTCCTTGACTGCCTCGCGGTGTATTCGCTGCTGCGCAACACAGGCCTTTACTCCTATTCCTATTCCTCTTGCTTGCTTGCTTTCTTTTCTGCTGTTCCTCTTGCTGATTTCAACTATATTATTATTCCTGCTTCCAACCATCTGTGAGCACTTCGTGCAGCCTTGGTGTTCTTGTTCAGACGTTAGCCGCGCCCCCTCCATCCTCCCAAACGTATTCCCTTCGTCATATCCTCCCTCTCACACGTACCCTTTCCTGGTTTCCACGCCATGGGCAGCACCGCGCATCCGCAAGACACGGCGAAGGCGTCCACGCCGAACAACGCCGTCGCAGACACAGTGGGGCACAAAGAGAAGCCGAGGCCGCAGAGGGCAAACGACGAGGTTCCTCGTCAGCGCACCGCCTCTGTGGGCCACGGCTTCCAGGTGCAGGGCTCCGTTGCGGACTTCGACCCGGGCACGCTCAAGACGGGCAGCGTGTCGGGCAACTTTGCCCTGCCGATGTCGTGGCGCAAGCTGAACTACAGCGCTGGCGAGCTGCGGATTCTGTGCGGGCTGACAGGGACCGCGCTGCCTGGCCGCTGCCTGGCCATTCTTGGCTCGTCCGGTGCCGGCAAGACGACGTTCCTGAACGCTATCTGTGATCGGCTGGCGGAGGACCGACACCTGAAACTGAGCGGCCGTCGACAGCTCGGCGATGTGGAGTACGAGCGGCACTACCGCAAGGCGATGGGCTTCGTGGCGCAGGACGACATCGTCTCGTCGCTGTCGACGCCGTACGATGCGTTGTGGTTCTCGCTGCGCACGCGTCGTGGCACTGACCGCGCGGAGACGGAGGCGCGTGTGCAGGAGGCGCTGGAGGTGCTGCGCCTGCAACACTGCCGCGACACGAAAATCGGCATTCCCGGTCTGGAGGCCGGTCTGTCCGGTGGCGAGCGGAAGCGCTGCAACATCGGCATCGAGCTGATCGTGGACCCGAAGATTCTGCTGCTGGATGAGCCGACGTCCGGCTTGGACTCCGTGACGTCCGCAAAGGTCGTGCACCTGCTGCGGCAGCTGTCGCGGATGGGCCGCACGATCATCTACACGATCCACCAGCCGACTGCGGAGGTGCTGTCCTACTTCGATGACCTGATGCTGATGACGCAGGGCCGCGTTGCGTACCACGGCACGATGGCTGCCTCGCTGGGCTACTTCGAGTCCATCGGCTTTCCGTGCCCGGAGAAGTACACGCCGACGGACTACTTCATGGTGATGCTGCAGGACCCCGTGACGAGCACGATCCTGATCAAGCGGTGGCGCAAGTACCTGAAGAACGGTCCGCGCAGCCCGCACACGGCCGCGGTGCGTCTCGCGAAGAGTCGCAGTGAGTCGAGTGCGGCCAAGTTTCTGGACGCGTACATCAAGAAGTTTGGCAGCTCGCCTTTTGTGCAGTTCTATGAGCTGACGCGTCGCAGCGTGATTGAGATCTCGCGTGATCGGCTGTACATCTTCTCGCTCGCCTCTCAGGCCACATTTTTTGCCGTTGTGGTGGGCCTGGTGTTCCTTCACGTACGCGACAACGTGGAGGGCATACAGGATCGTGAGGGCATGCTCTTCATGACGGTGATGAACCGTGCGATGGGCTCCACCTTCATCATGATCGACGCCTTCGAACGTGTTCGCGCCGTCTACACACGTGAGCAGCAGGCTGGCGCCTACTCGCCGCTCTTATACTACGTTGGTCGCAGTCTTGCCGAGTTCCCGCTGCAGATCTTCTTTATCTTTGTGGAGTGCGCTATTCTCTACTGGATGGTGGGGCTTTACCGCAAGCCTGGCGAGTTCTTCTATTACTTCGGCGCCATTTCGATGGTGTCGCAGGTAGCCAGCGGTCTCGGTTTTGCGATATCTTCCAGTTTCCCATCCCTGTTGATTGCCGCTGCGATGGCGCCCCTTATCCTTCTTCCTCTTGCGATGGCGGGTGGTCTGTTTGCGAGCACGGAGCGGCTTCGCCCCTACTGGTACTGGCTGGAGAAGCCGTCCTTCATGCGCCACGGGTACATCCTGGTGCTTCGAAACGAGCTGAACAATGTTCGCAACGTGGCCTGCAACAACTACAATAAAGGTGATGCCTATTGCATCAACCAGGCACGCGATGGCAAGGTTGTGCTGCGCCTTCTCGGCTTCGACGGCGATCCACAGTCGACGGACGTGTGGATGTGGGTGTCGCTGGCCATCATGTTCTTCTTGTGCCACATTATCAGCGTCATCGCTCTTTCTAGGGCCGGTCATGCGAAGACTTAGGCAAATCTGCATGTGTATCTCGGTGTGTGTGTGTGTACCGTTGTGTCTGTTTGACGTGGGCGGTGGACGTTTTATTGTTCGCCGAATCTGAGGTGGCCACGCTTCCGTTCGGTGTTGATCTTACGTAATCGATAGCCTGTGGTGGCGTGGCTGTTGTCTCTCCGCTCCTCCGCTGTTATTCTTCTTCTTTGTTCGTTTCGGTGTTGGTTTTGTTGTCCCGCGCAACCTCGTTTGGACGGGACGGAAGTGAAGCGAGAGGAGGCGTCTGTTATGTTATTCTATTCTATTATTATTATTTGTAATTCCCTCGTTGTCTCACCTAAGTGAATCGAAGCGCGTCATGCCTGATTTTCTTCCATTGTCTTTTAGTAAATTTTCTCCTCTACTTTTCCGTACTTGCGTTGAACGAAGTTTCAAGTTATTATTGACTCAGAGTAACGTTGGATTGTTTTTTTTTTTTTGTGAGCCTGCGAGGGGAATGGAAGGGACGGAAAAAATGAGTTGAATGTGATTGGCAGCGGAGAGATTGGCGGATCTCGGTCATTTAGGGTAATGCTCTAAACTATCTTCTCCTTTTCTATTACCTCCTGAATCCTGGTTCTTCCGTATTCTGGTTTGCCTGGCACAGTTGTTTTCAGCATCGAGAGAAACTCCGGTTTTTCGCTGAAATCCACCCGCCCACCCCCGGTCCCTCCCACGACAGGGACCCATGGGATCCTTAAAAAGAACCATGAGTTTTGTTTTCCTTGCACTTCATAATGCGATACTCTCTGAGAAAAAGTCCGACGACAAACACGACAGATAAAGAAGAACGGAATTGGGGCAGATACTAGATAGTGAAGAAACAATGAGTAGCCTTGATGGGGACATTGATGCCAGGTACTCGCTAGTTATGTATTTCCCTAAATGTCGTGCAATCACTTCGATTCTTGACTTCCTATCCTTCTTATTCTTGATCTCTAGCGGGAGTGGACCCCGCTCTAAACGGGTTGTCCAGCGCATGTGTCAGCAGCGCAACGGAGCACCCACCCGCGCGCATTAAGGTTGTTGATCGGTACTGGTTTCTATATTTGTATATGATTATATATATAATTATGTGTAGATTTGAATTCCGTTCTTCTTTTCCCTTTCCGGTGAGGCGAAGTGCGCGACGAAGCACACAAGCGCGGACGGCGCGTGCCGTCTGCCGTCGCAGCCTCAACTCCTGCTATTTTCCTACTGCTATTTTCCTTTCGTGTTGTCTAACGTGGTGTAATGCGAGGTGACGGCGTCTCTCGATCGGCGTGCGGGCTACCTGCGGGAGTCGTGAAGAAGCGGCGAAACAGCGCAGGGAGGTGGACAGAGGCGCTCTTGCATGGGGAGGCTGTCGAACGGAGTTTTGTACGGAGTTGGGGGGCACTACGCATTGGTGCGTGGTGTGCGGTGGTTTGACTACTGTGTATGACCAGCGAAATCCTCGACGCACACTGTACCGCGAGTGCGGCCTAAAAAGAAGAGAACAGAGAAAACAGGGGAAGTGATAAAGGAAGCCGCTGCTTCTTTTTCTTTTCCCCTTTCACCCGCATCTGTTGCACATCACAACGGTTTCTCGAGGTGCCGCACATGACAATGGGGAGCTGCTTGCCTGCACTCTCTCGCATCTGTGTCTCTGTGCTTGATGTGTGGAAGACACCGTGCTCCTCGTAACCGCGGCGTAACGCATTACGTGCTTGCACCCTCCGTTCTATCTCCCTATGGCCAAACAACATAGAAGAAAACAACAACAGCAACAAGCAAAAACAAATGTTGTAGCTGGTGATGTATTCCCATTTTTTCCCCCGTTCTTCTCCATGAAACGAATCTCGCTCTCCCCCTCTTGCCTTTCCTCTGTCTTCTCTCATTCGTTTTCTGCTGTCTGCTGTGCTCCTGCCCGTGTGAACCCTTCCGGGTCAGCTGCACGCACAACGGTCAAGCCCAGTGACGCTTTCTGCTGCTTTTGTCTTCTTGCGTTCGCCCTGTGTACGTCGACACCCACAACATCTCCCCCCACCACTTCGTTATTATTAGTGTTTTCTCCCCCATTCCCCTCCCCCGCAACGCACGTTCGAGAGAACGCGCGAGAGCGAGCTCATCGGCCGGGACTTCATCTTCTTCTTTTCTTCGCTTCCACTTTTGTCGCTGAAACCTCTCCTCCGTGCGACCTGCCTCTCTCCCTTCTCGCTTCGTTGGTGCCTGCCTCGTACCGCCTTCTCCTTCTCCGCCACATCTCATTTTTCTTGATTTTCTTCTTGTCATCATCATTGTTATCTACGGTAGTGCGATATACGTCCGCTTCCTTTCGTCGTGGCACTGACCTTGTCCTCCTTTACGCCTCTTCCTGCCCTTGTGCTCAGTACATACCTGCCTTCCAGCTCCTTCACATCGTGTGAGACGGAGGAGGCCACGTCCAAATACATACATACATACGAGCATCTCGAAAACATGGAGGGAGGAAACCCACCTCCGCGGAACCGTCCGCAGCCGCTGGCCAACGACCCTTTTGATGAGGACGAGATCGCCAAGAGGGCAAACGACGAGGTCCCTCGTCAGCGCACCGCCTCTGTGGGCCACGGCTTCCAGGTGCAGGGCTCCGTTGCGGACTTCGACCCGGGCACGCTCAAGACGGGCAGCGTGTCGGGCAACTTTGCCCTGCCGATGTCGTGGCGCAAGCTGAACTACAGCGCTGGCGAGCTGCGGATTCTGTGCGGGCTGACAGGGACCGCGCTGCCTGGCCGCTGCCTGGCCATTCTTGGCTCGTCCGGTGCCGGCAAGACGACGTTCCTGAACGCTATCTGTGATCGGCTGGCGGAGGACCGACACCTGAAACTGAGCGGCCGTCGACAGCTCGGCGATGTGGAGTACGAGCGGCACTACCGCAAGGCGATGGGCTTCGTGGCGCAGGACGACATCGTCTCGTCGCTGTCGACGCCGTACGATGCGTTGTGGTTCTCGCTGCGCACGCGTCGTGGCACTGACCGCGCGGAGACGGAGGCGCGTGTGCAGGAGGCGCTGGAGGTGCTGCGCCTGCAACACTGCCGCGACACGAAAATCGGCATTCCCGGTCTGGAGGCCGGTCTGTCCGGTGGCGAGCGGAAGCGCTGCAACATCGGCATCGAGCTGATCGTGGACCCGAAGATTCTGCTGCTGGATGAGCCGACGTCCGGCTTGGACTCCGTGACGTCCGCAAAGGTCGTGCACCTGCTGCGGCAGCTGTCGCGGATGGGCCGCACGATCATCTACACGATCCACCAGCCGACTGCGGAGGTGCTGTCCTACTTCGATGACCTGATGCTGATGACGCAGGGCCGCGTTGCGTACCACGGCACGATGGCTGCCTCGCTGGGCTACTTCGAGTCCATCGGCTTTCCGTGCCCGGAGAAGTACACGCCGACGGACTACTTCATGGTGATGCTGCAGGACCCCGTGACGAGCACGATCCTGATCAAGCGGTGGCGCAAGTACCTGAAGAACGGTCCGCGCAGCCCGCACACGGCCGCGGTGCGTCTCGCGAAGAGTCGCAGTGAGTCGAGTGCGGCCAAGTTTCTGGACGCGTACATCAAGAAGTTTGGCAGCTCGCCTTTTGTGCAGTTCTATGAGCTGACGCGTCGCAGCGTGATTGAGATCTCGCGTGATCGGCTGTACATCTTCTCGCTCGCCTCTCAGGCCACATTTTTTGCCGTTGTGGTGGGCCTGGTGTTCCTTCACGTACGCGACAACGTGGAGGGCATACAGGATCGTGAGGGCATGCTCTTCATGACGGTGATGAACCGTGCGATGGGCTCCACCTTCATCATGATCGACGCCTTCGAACGTGTTCGCGCCGTCTACACACGTGAGCAGCAGGCTGGCGCCTACTCGCCGCTCTTATACTACGTTGGTCGCAGTCTTGCCGAGTTCCCGCTGCAGATCTTCTTTATCTTTGTGGAGTGCGCTATTCTCTACTGGATGGTGGGGCTTTACCGCAAGCCTGGCGAGTTCTTCTATTACTTCGGCGCCATTTCGATGGTGTCGCAGGTAGCCAGCGGTCTCGGTTTTGCGATATCTTCCAGTTTCCCATCCCTGTTGATTGCCGCTGCGATGGCGCCCCTTATCCTTCTTCCTCTTGCGATGGCGGGTGGTCTGTTTGCGAGCACGGAGCGGCTTCGCCCCTACTGGTACTGGCTGGAGAAGCCGTCCTTCATGCGCCACGGGTACATCCTGGTGCTTCGAAACGAGCTGAACAATGTTCGCAACGTGGCCTGCAACAACTACAATAAAGGTGATGCCTATTGCATCAACCAGGCACGCGATGGCAAGGTTGTGCTGCGCCTTCTCGGCTTCGACGGCGATCCACAGTCGACGGACGTGTGGATGTGGGTGTCGCTGGCCATCATGTTCTTCTTGTGCCACATTATCAGCGTCATCGCTCTTTCTAGGGCCGGTCATGCGAAGACTTAGGCAAATCTGCATGTGTATCTCGGTGTGTGTGTGTGTACCGTTGTGTCTGTTTGACGTGGGCGGTGGACGTTTTATTGTTCGCCGAATCTGAGGTGGCCACGCTTCCGTTCGGTGTTGATCTTACGTAATCGATAGCCTGTGGTGGCGTGGCTGTTGTCTCTCCGCTCCTCCGCTGTTATTCTTCTTCTTTGTTCGTTTCGGTGTTGGTTTTGTTGTCCCGCGCAACCTCGTTTGGACGGGACGGAAGTGAAGCGAGAGGAGGCGTCTGTTATGTTATTCTATTCTATTATTATTATTTGTAATTCCCTCGTTGTCTCACCTAAGTGAATCGAAGCGCGTCATGCCTGATTTTCTTCCATTGTCTTTTAGTAAATTTTCTCCTCTACTTTTCCGTACTTGCGTTGAACGAAGTTTCAAGTTATTATTGACTCAGAGTAACGTTGGATTGTTTTTTTTTTTTTGTGAGCCTGCGAGGGGAATGGAAGGGACGGAAAAAATGAGTTGAATGTGATTGGCAGCGGAGAGATTGGCGGATCTCGGTCATTTAGGGTAATGCTCTAAACTATCTTCTCCTTTTCTATTACCTCCTGAATCCTGGTTCTTCCGTATTCTGGTTTGCCTGGCACAGTTGTTTTCAGCATCGAGAGAAACTCCGGTTTTTCGCTGAAATCCACCCGCCCACCCCCGGTCCCTCCCACGACAGGGACCCATGGGATCCTTAAAAAGAACCATGAGTTTTGTTTTCCTTGCACTTCATAATGCGATACTCTCTGAGAAAAAGTCCGACGACAAACACGACAGATAAAGAAGAACGGAATTGGGGCAGATACTAGATAGTGAAGAAACAATGAGTAGCCTTGATGGGGACATTGATGCCAGGTACTCGCTAGTTATGTATTTCCCTAAATGTCGTGCAATCACTTCGATTCTTGACTTCCTATCCTTCTTATTCTTGATCTCTAGCGGGAGTGGACCCCGCTCTAAACGGGTTGTCCAGCGCATGTGTCAGCAGCGCAACGGAGCACCCACCCGCGCGCATTAAGGTTGTTGATCGGTACTGGTTTCTATATTTGTATATGATTATATATATAATTATGTGTAGATTTGAATTCCGTTCTTCTTTTCCCTTTCCGGTGAGGCGAAGTGCGCGACGAAGCACACAAGCGCGGACGGCGCGTGCCGTCTGCCGTCGCAGCCTCAACTCCTGCTATTTTCCTACTGCTATTTTCCTTTCGTGTTGTCTAACGTGGTGTAATGCGAGGTGACGGCGTCTCTCGATCGGCGTGCGGGCTACCTGCGGGAGTCGTGAAGAAGCGGCGAAACAGCGCAGGGAGGTGGACAGAGGCGCTCTTGCATGGGGAGGCTGTCGAACGGAGTTTTGTACGGAGTTGGGGGGCACTACGCATTGGTGCGTGGTGTGCGGTGGTTTGACTACTGTGTATGACCAGCGAAATCCTCGACGCACACTGTACCGCGAGTGCGGCCTAAAAAGAAGAGAACAGAGAAAACAGGGGAAGTGATAAAGGAAGCCGCTGCTTCTTTTTCTTTTCCCCTTTCACCCGCATCTGTTGCACATCACAACGGTTTCTCGAGGTGCCGCACATGACAATGGGGAGCTGCTTGCCTGCACTCTCTCGCATCTGTGTCTCTGTGCTTGATGTGTGGAAGACACCGTGCTCCTCGTAACCGCGGCGTAACGCATTACGTGCTTGCACCCTCCGTTCTATCTCCCTATGGCCAAACAACATAGAAGAAAACAACAACAGCAACAAGCAAAAACAAATGTTGTAGCTGGTGATGTATTCCCATTTTTTCCCCCGTTCTTCTCCATGAAACGAATCTCGCTCTCCCCCTCTTGCCTTTCCTCTGTCTTCTCTCATTCGTTTTCTGCTGTCTGCTGTGCTCCTGCCCGTGTGAACCCTTCCGGGTCAGCTGCACGCACAACGGTCAAGCCCAGTGACGCTTTCTGCTGCTTTTGTCTTCTTGCGTTCGCCCTGTGTACGTCGACACCCACAACATCTCCCCCCACCACTTCGTTATTATTAGTGTTTTCTCCCCCATTCCCCTCCCCCGCAACGCACGTTCGAGAGAACGCGCGAGAGCGAGCTCATCGGCCGGGACTTCATCTTCTTCTTTTCTTCGCTTCCACTTTTGTCGCTGAAACCTCTCCTCCGTGCGACCTGCCTCTCTCCCTTCTCGCTTCGTTGGTGCCTGCCTCGTACCGCCTTCTCCTTCTCCGCCACATCTCATTTTTCTTGATTTTCTTCTTGTCATCATCATTGTTATCTACGGTAGTGCGATATACGTCCGCTTCCTTTCGTCGTGGCACTGACCTTGTCCTCCTTTACGCCTCTTCCTGCCCTTGTGCTCAGTACATACCTGCCTTCCAGCTCCTTCACATCGTGTGAGACGGAGGAGGCCACGTCCAAATACATACATACATACGAGCATCTCGAAAACATGGAGGGAGGAAACCCACCTCCGCGGAACCGTCCGCAGCCGCTGGCCAACGACCCTTTTGATGAGGACGAGATCGCCAAGAGGGCAAACGACGAGGTCCCTCGTCAGCGCACCGCCTCTGTGGGCCACGGCTTCCAGGTGCAGGGCTCCGTTGCGGACTTCGACCCGGGCACGCTCAAGACGGGCAGCGTGTCGGGCAACTTTGCCCTGCCGATGTCGTGGCGCAAGCTGAACTACAGCGCTGGCGAGCTGCGGATTCTGTGCGGGCTGACAGGGACCGCGCTGCCTGGCCGCTGCCTGGCCATTCTTGGCTCGTCCGGTGCCGGCAAGACGACGTTCCTGAACGCTATCTGTGATCGGCTGGCGGAGGACCGACACCTGAAACTGAGCGGCCGTCGACAGCTCGGCGATGTGGAGTACGAGCGGCACTACCGCAAGGCGATGGGCTTCGTGGCGCAGGACGACATCGTCTCGTCGCTGTCGACGCCGTACGATGCGTTGTGGTTCTCGCTGCGCACGCGTCGTGGCACTGACCGCGCGGAGACGGAGGCGCGTGTGCAGGAGGCGCTGGAGGTGCTGCGCCTGCAACACTGCCGCGACACGAAAATCGGCATTCCCGGTCTGGAGGCCGGTCTGTCCGGTGGCGAGCGGAAGCGCTGCAACATCGGCATCGAGCTGATCGTGGACCCGAAGATTCTGCTGCTGGATGAGCCGACGTCCGGCTTGGACTCCGTGACGTCCGCAAAGGTCGTGCACCTGCTGCGGCAGCTGTCGCGGATGGGCCGCACGATCATCTACACGATCCACCAGCCGACTGCGGAGGTGCTGTCCTACTTCGATGACCTGATGCTGATGACGCAGGGCCGCGTTGCGTACCACGGCACGATGGCTGCCTCGCTGGGCTACTTCGAGTCCATCGGCTTTCCGTGCCCGGAGAAGTACACGCCGACGGACTACTTCATGGTGATGCTGCAGGACCCCGTGACGAGCACGATCCTGATCAAGCGGTGGCGCAAGTACCTGAAGAACGGTCCGCGCAGCCCGCACACGGCCGCGGTGCGTCTCGCGAAGAGTCGCAGTGAGTCGAGTGCGGCCAAGTTTCTGGACGCGTACATCAAGAAGTTTGGCAGCTCGCCTTTTGTGCAGTTCTATGAGCTGACGCGTCGCAGCGTGATTGAGATCTCGCGTGATCGGCTGTACATCTTCTCGCTCGCCTCTCAGGCCACATTTTTTGCCGTTGTGGTGGGCCTGGTGTTCCTTCACGTACGCGACAACGTGGAGGGCATACAGGATCGTGAGGGCATGCTCTTCATGACGGTGATGAACCGTGCGATGGGCTCCACCTTCATCATGATCGACGCCTTCGAACGTGTTCGCGCCGTCTACACACGTGAGCAGCAGGCTGGCGCCTACTCGCCGCTCTTATACTACGTTGGTCGCAGTCTTGCCGAGTTCCCGCTGCAGATCTTCTTTATCTTTGTGGAGTGCGCTATTCTCTACTGGATGGTGGGGCTTTACCGCAAGCCTGGCGAGTTCTTCTATTACTTCGGCGCCATTTCGATGGTGTCGCAGGTAGCCAGCGGTCTCGGTTTTGCGATATCTTCCAGTTTCCCATCCCTGTTGATTGCCGCTGCGATGGCGCCCCTTATCCTTCTTCCTCTTGCGATGGCGGGTGGTCTGTTTGCGAGCACGGAGCGGCTTCGCCCCTACTGGTACTGGCTGGAGAAGCCGTCCTTCATGCGCCACGGGTACATCCTGGTGCTTCGAAACGAGCTGAACAATGTTCGCAACGTGGCCTGCAACAACTACAATAAAGGTGATGCCTATTGCATCAACCAGGCACGCGATGGCAAGGTTGTGCTGCGCCTTCTCGGCTTCGACGGCGATCCACAGTCGACGGACGTGTGGATGTGGGTGTCGCTGGCCATCATGTTCTTCTTGTGCCACATTATCAGCGTCATCGCTCTTTCTAGGGCCGGTCATGCGAAGACTTAGGCAAATCTGCATGTGTATCTCGGTGTGTGTGTGTGTACCGTTGTGTCTGTTTGACGTGGGCGGTGGACGTTTTATTGTTCGCCGAATCTGAGGTGGCCACGCTTCCGTTCGGTGTTGATCTTACGTAATCGATAGCCTGTGGTGGCGTGGCTGTTGTCTCTCCGCTCCTCCGCTGTTATTCTTCTTCTTTGTTCGTTTCGGTGTTGGTTTTGTTGTCCCGCGCAACCTCGTTTGGACGGGACGGAAGTGAAGCGAGAGGAGGCGTCTGTTATGTTATTCTATTCTATTATTATTATTTGTAATTCCCTCGTTGTCTCACCTAAGTGAATCGAAGCGCGTCATGCCTGATTTTCTTCCATTGTCTTTTAGTAAATTTTCTCCTCTACTTTTCCGTACTTGCGTTGAACGAAGTTTCAAGTTATTATTGACTCAGAGTAACGTTGGATTGTTTTTTTTTTTTTGTGAGCCTGCGAGGGGAATGGAAGGGACGGAAAAAATGAGTTGAATGTGATTGGCAGCGGAGAGATTGGCGGATCTCGGTCATTTAGGGTAATGCTCTAAACTATCTTCTCCTTTTCTATTACCTCCTGAATCCTGGTTCTTCCGTATTCTGGTTTGCCTGGCACAGTTGTTTTCAGCATCGAGAGAAACTCCGGTTTTTCGCTGAAATCCACCCGCCCACCCCCGGTCCCTCCCACGACAGGGACCCATGGGATCCTTAAAAAGAACCATGAGTTTTGTTTTCCTTGCACTTCATAATGCGATACTCTCTGAGAAAAAGTCCGACGACAAACACGACAGATAAAGAAGAACGGAATTGGGGCAGATACTAGATAGTGAAGAAACAATGAGTAGCCTTGATGGGGACATTGATGCCAGGTACTCGCTAGTTATGTATTTCCCTAAATGTCGTGCAATCACTTCGATTCTTGACTTCCTATCCTTCTTATTCTTGATCTCTAGCGGGAGTGGACCCCGCTCTAAACGGGTTGTCCAGCGCATGTGTCAGCAGCGCAACGGAGCACCCACCCGCGCGCATTAAGGTTGTTGATCGGTACTGGTTTCTATATTTGTATATGATTATATATATAATTATGTGTAGATTTGAATTCCGTTCTTCTTTTCCCTTTCCGGTGAGGCGAAGTGCGCGACGAAGCACACAAGCGCGGACGGCGCGTGCCGTCTGCCGTCGCAGCCTCAACTCCTGCTATTTTCCTACTGCTATTTTCCTTTCGTGTTGTCTAACGTGGTGTAATGCGAGGTGACGGCGTCTCTCGATCGGCGTGCGGGCTACCTGCGGGAGTCGTGAAGAAGCGGCGAAACAGCGCAGGGAGGTGGACAGAGGCGCTCTTGCATGGGGAGGCTGTCGAACGGAGTTTTGTACGGAGTTGGGGGGCACTACGCATTGGTGCGTGGTGTGCGGTGGTTTGACTACTGTGTATGACCAGCGAAATCCTCGACGCACACTGTACCGCGAGTGCGGCCTAAAAAGAAGAGAACAGAGAAAACAGGGGAAGTGATAAAGGAAGCCGCTGCTTCTTTTTCTTTTCCCCTTTCACCCGCATCTGTTGCACATCACAACGGTTTCTCGAGGTGCCGCACATGACAATGGGGAGCTGCTTGCCTGCACTCTCTCGCATCTGTGTCTCTGTGCTTGATGTGTGGAAGACACCGTGCTCCTCGTAACCGCGGCGTAACGCATTACGTGCTTGCACCCTCCGTTCTATCTCCCTATGGCCAAACAACATAGAAGAAAACAACAACAGCAACAAGCAAAAACAAATGTTGTAGCTGGTGATGTATTCCCATTTTTTCCCCCGTTCTTCTCCATGAAACGAATCTCGCTCTCCCCCTCTTGCCTTTCCTCTGTCTTCTCTCATTCGTTTTCTGCTGTCTGCTGTGCTCCTGCCCGTGTGAACCCTTCCGGGTCAGCTGCACGCACAACGGTCAAGCCCAGTGACGCTTTCTGCTGCTTTTGTCTTCTTGCGTTCGCCCTGTGTACGTCGACACCCACAACATCTCCCCCCACCACTTCGTTATTATTAGTGTTTTCTCCCCCATTCCCCTCCCCCGCAACGCACGTTCGAGAGAACGCGCGAGAGCGAGCTCATCGGCCGGGACTTCATCTTCTTCTTTTCTTCGCTTCCACTTTTGTCGCTGAAACCTCTCCTCCGTGCGACCTGCCTCTCTCCCTTCTCGCTTCGTTGGTGCCTGCCTCGTACCGCCTTCTCCTTCTCCGCCACATCTCATTTTTCTTGATTTTCTTCTTGTCATCATCATTGTTATCTACGGTAGTGCGATATACGTCCGCTTCCTTTCGTCGTGGCACTGACCTTGTCCTCCTTTACGCCTCTTCCTGCCCTTGTGCTCAGTACATACCTGCCTTCCAGCTCCTTCACATCGTGTGAGACGGAGGAGGCCACGTCCAAATACATACATACATACGAGCATCTCGAAAACATGGAGGGAGGAAACCCACCTCCGCGGAACCGTCCGCAGCCGCTGGCCAACGACCCTTTTGATGAGGACGAGATCGCCAAGAGGGCAAACGACGAGGTCCCTCGTCAGCGCACCGCCTCTGTGGGCCACGGCTTCCAGGTGCAGGGCTCCGTTGCGGACTTCGACCCGGGCACGCTCAAGACGGGCAGCGTGTCGGGCAACTTTGCCCTGCCGATGTCGTGGCGCAAGCTGAACTACAGCGCTGGCGAGCTGCGGATTCTGTGCGGGCTGACAGGGACCGCGCTGCCTGGCCGCTGCCTGGCCATTCTTGGCTCGTCCGGTGCCGGCAAGACGACGTTCCTGAACGCTATCTGTGATCGGCTGGCGGAGGACCGACACCTGAAACTGAGCGGCCGTCGACAGCTCGGCGATGTGGAGTACGAGCGGCACTACCGCAAGGCGATGGGCTTCGTGGCGCAGGACGACATCGTCTCGTCGCTGTCGACGCCGTACGATGCGTTGTGGTTCTCGCTGCGCACGCGTCGTGGCACTGACCGCGCGGAGACGGAGGCGCGTGTGCAGGAGGCGCTGGAGGTGCTGCGCCTGCAACACTGCCGCGACACGAAAATCGGCATTCCCGGTCTGGAGGCCGGTCTGTCCGGTGGCGAGCGGAAGCGCTGCAACATCGGCATCGAGCTGATCGTGGACCCGAAGATTCTGCTGCTGGATGAGCCGACGTCCGGCTTGGACTCCGTGACGTCCGCAAAGGTCGTGCACCTGCTGCGGCAGCTGTCGCGGATGGGCCGCACGATCATCTACACGATCCACCAGCCGACTGCGGAGGTGCTGTCCTACTTCGATGACCTGATGCTGATGACGCAGGGCCGCGTTGCGTACCACGGCACGATGGCTGCCTCGCTGGGCTACTTCGAGTCCATCGGCTTTCCGTGCCCGGAGAAGTACACGCCGACGGACTACTTCATGGTGATGCTGCAGGACCCCGTGACGAGCACGATCCTGATCAAGCGGTGGCGCAAGTACCTGAAGAACGGTCCGCGCAGCCCGCACACGGCCGCGGTGCGTCTCGCGAAGAGTCGCAGTGAGTCGAGTGCGGCCAAGTTTCTGGACGCGTACATCAAGAAGTTTGGCAGCTCGCCTTTTGTGCAGTTCTATGAGCTGACGCGTCGCAGCGTGATTGAGATCTCGCGTGATCGGCTGTACATCTTCTCGCTCGCCTCTCAGGCCACATTTTTTGCCGTTGTGGTGGGCCTGGTGTTCCTTCACGTACGCGACAACGTGGAGGGCATACAGGATCGTGAGGGCATGCTCTTCATGACGGTGATGAACCGTGCGATGGGCTCCACCTTCATCATGATCGACGCCTTCGAACGTGTTCGCGCCGTCTACACACGTGAGCAGCAGGCTGGCGCCTACTCGCCGCTCTTATACTACGTTGGTCGCAGTCTTGCCGAGTTCCCGCTGCAGATCTTCTTTATCTTTGTGGAGTGCGCTATTCTCTACTGGATGGTGGGGCTTTACCGCAAGCCTGGCGAGTTCTTCTATTACTTCGGCGCCATTTCGATGGTGTCGCAGGTAGCCAGCGGTCTCGGTTTTGCGATATCTTCCAGTTTCCCATCCCTGTTGATTGCCGCTGCGATGGCGCCCCTTATCCTTCTTCCTCTTGCGATGGCGGGTGGTCTGTTTGCGAGCACGGAGCGGCTTCGCCCCTACTGGTACTGGCTGGAGAAGCCGTCCTTCATGCGCCACGGGTACATCCTGGTGCTTCGAAACGAGCTGAACAATGTTCGCAACGTGGCCTGCAACAACTACAATAAAGGTGATGCCTATTGCATCAACCAGGCACGCGATGGCAAGGTTGTGCTGCGCCTTCTCGGCTTCGACGGCGATCCACAGTCGACGGACGTGTGGATGTGGGTGTCGCTGGCCATCATGTTCTTCTTGTGCCACATTATCAGCGTCATCGCTCTTTCTAGGGCCGGTCATGCGAAGACTTAGGCAAATCTGCATGTGTATCTCGGTGTGTGTGTGTGTACCGTTGTGTCTGTTTGACGTGGGCGGTGGACGTTTTATTGTTCGCCGAATCTGAGGTGGCCACGCTTCCGTTCGGTGTTGATCTTACGTAATCGATAGCCTGTGGTGGCGTGGCTGTTGTCTCTCCGCTCCTCCGCTGTTATTCTTCTTCTTTGTTCGTTTCGGTGTTGGTTTTGTTGTCCCGCGCAACCTCGTTTGGACGGGACGGAAGTGAAGCGAGAGGAGGCGTCTGTTATGTTATTCTATTCTATTATTATTATTTGTAATTCCCTCGTTGTCTCACCTAAGTGAATCGAAGCGCGTCATGCCTGATTTTCTTCCATTGTCTTTTAGTAAATTTTCTCCTCTACTTTTCCGTACTTGCGTTGAACGAAGTTTCAAGTTATTATTGACTCAGAGTAACGTTGGATTGTTTTTTTTTTTTTGTGAGCCTGCGAGGGGAATGGAAGGGACGGAAAAAATGAGTTGAATGTGATTGGCAGCGGAGAGATTGGCGGATCTCGGTCATT